CTATCGCACTATTTAAACTTTTTTTACGAATTAAACGATGAAGAGACAATTCTTGTGAGATTTTTGCTACGGTAGCTACCTCATCAAAACATTCTTTTTTTGGGAAGATTTGTAGTTCTTAGATGGAAAAGGCGGCATTTGTTGATCTTCAACAGGGCTGTGTTTTTATCCTCCGTGGTTTATGCTAGATTTTGAATATAGATTCCTAATATATAAAATAAATAAAAATAAAATAAAATAGAAATAAAAAATAATACAGAAAATTTTTGCTTCAGTACCTCCTTCCGAAACATTTTTTTGGTAGACATCGATAATTTTTAGCTGATTTGTATTTATCGGCCCGTTTTATCAATCTGCGTAGTGCTACGCCGGAGTACGGTAGCTTGGTTCGCGCCGGTTTTTTTTTTGACAAAATTTCTAAAATTCCTCGTAAATACTAGTCCACGCGGAAATTGTTCTTACTTTCTGAAACAGTTTACGATTTTTTTACCCTTTTTTCTCGTCTACAGTAGCCCAAGTTCCACTTAATTAGTTTTACAAAACTAAAAAAAACATATTTTCTTTTCCTTGACTTTTCATCTGGTTACGATATTTCACCTGCCTGCAAAGTTTTATTCAATCTCGCAGAAATTTGGACTTGGTTAAGAGCTCCGGAAAACTTCTAGGGTAGTGAATTATTGAAACACACAAAAATTATACAATTTTTGAACGAAAAACATACTTCTACTAGCTTCCATTTACCGAAGTAATATTCAATGATTCAAAGTCTACAATTTTTCTATAGCATTTAAGATCTTTAAAATGTTTAGAAAGTGACAGATCTGTTTTTTGAGCAAAAATGTTTCGAGAAAAACTCGTTTCGCGTGGATTTTTTGGGGCACCAATGTATGACTTTGTTTATCGGCGTTTTTCAAGTCATTTAAAGCTTATTGCAACTTTTGGTTTTTTCAGCCGCTTATTCCTTCTCTAGGCACTTCACCACAGACTACGTTCCTGGCTTTGAAACCCAGACTTGAAAAGCCGTAGCTCTAAAAAGTGACCGCAGCTTTGTCGGGCTATTATAGGGATGACTGGTAGCCCCTTTACAAAAGCGACACAATAGGCCAGACGGCCGGCGTTCTCTCTCTCTCTCTCTCTCTCTCTCTCTCTCTCTCTCTCCTTCTCTCTCCCTCACTCGCTTTTGTAGGGGAGGTGTTCGGGGTAAATGAAGTGCACAGACCGGCCTTCTTTTTTAAAGGAGCGTGGCAGCGACGATTTCCATGAATCTATGAATTCTTAAAGAGTCTGTAAAATCCCTTAAACTTTATTTTGTTTTCTTTATTCAGACATTTTATAGGTAAATACGGCTGAATATATTTGAATTAATTTAAAATTTATTTAAAAATAGTTGAAAAAAACTATTTTAGAAATACTATAACGATTATTATGGATGCATGAATTATCGCATCGCTTAAATTCTGAAATATTTTTAGGGTTGAAACATTATCCAGCAAAAGGAATATCTAACTTTTCAAATTCGCGTTTTCAATTAAATACCGAAAATAGCCTCTAATGCCGATGATCCAATTTCACTCGAATTATCAGCTTATCTAAATTGTCGCATTGCTAAATTCCCGAATTTAATTAACCCAATGAAAACTTTGAGGTTACACGATTTGAGCGTTTATACTATGACCGTTTTAAATAGGCTAATTTTGCCAGATTTTGAAACAAACTTTTGGGAAAAGTGACATGGATTTTGATGCTTCGACTTCAATAATGTTCAGGAGCTGTAAAATTTCATCTGTATATTGTAAATGCTGTAGAACAATAATTCCTCGAGCGGTTAAAAAAATCCATGCTAGGAAAAATAAGATTATTAGGTTCTGAAATAATGATAAACAAAACTGCAGGTTTGGGAGCCGGGGATACAAATACCAGTTCTTGTGCCCCGAAACCCCCTCCTACCCCCGTTCACATATGCATAGCAATATCTCAGCACTGTTCTCTCTCCATATCTCCATCTCTCTCTCGCTCTCTCCCTCGCTCTCTCTCTCTCTAACTCTCGCTTATACCTCCTAAAGCCGTTGTGGAACCGGTAGAGATAGAGAGAGAGAGAGAGAGAGAGAGAGAAAGAGAGATACGGCTACTACTACCCAGTTCCTTCTGCCCTCCAAACCATGCTTTTCGAAAGAACCATTTATGCCAAATTGGAAAAGATCTTGACTTTTACTTGCGTAAAATGGGTTATTGAAACAACACGGATAACACATCTCTAATTACCGGAATTATGTTCCCTTCTGGTGGCAAATGATTGCAACACATTTTTAGAAATGTCAATTTTCCTTTATACAAGCAAATTTTCTGTTAACCTTTTAATTGTTGGAAACGCCGATTTTGGGGCGCCATTTTTAGGACTAAAAATAGTTTTCATTTTTCGTTTTCCCATTTAGATAAAAAGGGATTTCATACCCCACCATCCCGAAATCCCTAGAAGCTAGATGAAGCACTGAAAAAATGAGAATTTGGAAAATCCAGTGCGTTTGTGCTTTTTTGAAAATGTGTGTTGCCTGTTTGTGGCCAGTTAATTGCGGATGCTGACAGTTTATTGGGGGTTGGCCAAAGTCGAGTAAACTGTCTAATTGATACAAAACGTTGCTTAACAACCGTTATTTTCTACTTTTCAAAAGTTTTTGTTTTTTGTTATTGATATTTTTTGTTTGAATTTTTTTGTAATTCTCAGACTTCATTTCCGACAAGCTCTAAAAGGCGACTTCGATAAGTCTCCCCTCTCTTAAAGATTTAACCTTCCGAAATTTTTTTTGAAAGATTATGTTTCATGTTGGCGCCTACTTAACTGCCGATGCGGCAGGCCAATGCGGATTGTTCGCAGTCGAATACATTTTTCTTTCAAGAGAAAACGTTGTTTAATGACCCTTAATTTACTCATTTTTTTGTCAGAATTTTAAAAAATCCAAAAATTCCATTTCCCACCCACTCCGCTGCACCCACCAACGATTTCGCTAAGCTGCACCCAGCTCTTAAAAATTTAGCATTTGGAAAGTGGCTTCGGCAAGTCCGCGCGCGGGTCCATTAACGAAATGGTGGATGCGTATTGTCGCGTAGTCTCGTCCCAATCCCCCTCTATCCACTTATTATCATCACTACCAGGGGCGAAGAGGCAAAAACCAGTCGCACTACGCTTGCCAGACTAGCTGAATCCCCCCAAGACCCAAAACTCGTTTTGAAAACGAAAAATACCATTTATTAAATTCTTAAATCAATAAAATTGCTTTTTAAGTAAAACCGCATTATTAAATTCTAGAATTGGATTTAATTTAATTTTATTTAATTGATAATCTCAATTTTAATTTGGATCTTAAATTTAATCCCGCTTTTTTGATGGTGATTTACTCTTGAATTCAGCAAACCAATGCTTTTTTTGCAAAGTATTGCAAAGTTTTTATTATGATACGCAAGTTTTAAATACTATTAAAAAATTATTGAAGCTATTTACATTTTATTTAAACCATGATTTCAGGGGGTATTTTTGTCAGTAGAATGTGCCCCGCGATTAACGATTACTTTTCTTGCGCCGGGCAATAATTCGTCGAAACACACATTTTATACGAATTTTTGGATAGCAATCAAATTTTAATAAAATACATATATTTAAATTTGTTTTTATCTATTCTTTTTCAGTATGTATAAGTTCATAGTGAGGTAGACATTTTAATAAAATGGCCCAGATCTGGCCTTCGAAACGGAACCTTCGATTCATAGCCCTATTTTTTTTAAATAAAGTGCATGGTGGTATTTTTTATTGGCCTTAAATTTATAATACTCAAAAATAATTATCCTTGATACAATGTAAATCAAGGGGAAATAGGACAAGCAACCAGGGTTTGATTGAAATTCCCGCATTTTTCCATATTTTTAATTTCTAGAAACACATTTTTTTGCCGCTTTTTGTTGAAGTTAACAATAATTTTTGCTTAAGAAGTCCATATTGCCTTCCTTTCCTGATTCCTCGCAACAGTATTCCTTCCGATTTTTATTTTAGGTATATTTGTCGTAGATAATTTTTAATGTATACTAATCGTGAAATTATTCGTTTTATTTATTGGCGTTTCTGCCCAAGCAATTAACGATGCGAGTTCCGTGCACAGCCCCATCAGATACGAAACATCATGTCCTATCCAGTGAATTTCACAAATTTTAACAGATTAATCCATGCTTTTTCTAGAATCAGTTCATTTTTGGATATTTATAGCGATATTTTAGTACCATGTAAATAATATTTATCTGCATAGACTGGAATCCCCTCTATTTGCATAACATAGTTTTGCCCGGTCGAGATCCCCTGTCTGCCTCGAGAAAACTGGATAGCCAAACCGGCAGCCCCAGCGAGGGGGATACTCGGCATATTTTGCCAAATTCGCTTCAATATTTTTATTTTGATCTTGAATTATAAGCTCAAATTCGAGTTTAAATACTTTTAATTATCCATTGAGTTTTGTAAAATGCAAAAAAGTAAAAAATAAAATTTTGATATTGTGTGTTTTTTGTTGGAGATTAAATATTTTTTGGTTTTTAGTGTATTTGTTTTGTAGGTTTTATTTCTTGATTTATTTATTTATTATTTTTGTTTTTAAGCCGCGCCTGCAAAGGAGGACGGTATGAATACAAATAATTTTCGTTGAGCCGATTTCTGACCAGAAACATTAAATTTCACACCAAAAATTATTGTTTACGCGCTCAACTTTTGTAAACATAAAGTTGTGAGTTATACGGTAAAAGGCATCAATGTCTTTTCTTTCGAAATTTTGTTTCGGCGATACAGAAAAAATGCGTTTCGGTTATCAGCCTTTTCTAGCGTTAGTCAAAAGCCATAATAATCCTAGCGCATGTCAAACCAGATGATTTTATTGTCCCCCATTTCGGTTTCATATTCCGGTGTTCTTTTAAATTGCTGTAAACATCAAAAAAATATTATTCGCTTATTTGCAGGGTCGCGCACGATGCGCATATTGGCGCTGCTGGTGGCGGCTGCCATCGCCGTCCCCGCACTATCCAGTGGTAAGGGTTAAGCTATTACAAGGGATTATAAAAAATAAAGGGGGTTAGGCACTAGTGTGGGCATTTGGCTCGGCTCGATTTTCGAGCCAAAATCGATAAAAATTTTTTGATGCTGAACTTTATTTTAAAATAATGAAAGCGCCCAAAAATAATGGAATTTATTACCCGAAACTTATTCAGGCAAAGATATATTTTATCCGAAACATTTTTTTTGGAAAATTAATGAAAACATCTTTTTCTTTTATAATGCATTATCAACACATCCCAAGGTAATTTTTTAAATTAATGAAATATACAGTTAAATATCAACACTTCCAAAATTTTGAGCATGATAGTGGTAATGAATATGCATCAAGCATCATTCCCTAAAACTTATTCTAGTAAAAATGCTTTTTTTGCAAAACATTGTTTTTCAAAAATGGATTAAAAAATATTTATCAGGTAGAACGTCTTATTTTTAGTCTAAGATAAAGAACGGGAAAAATAAATAAAAATAATTCCGATTTTTTAGATGTTGACCCCTGCAAGCGGCAACCCTTCCGAGGCCGATGCCCCTCAAAGTAAGAAAGAATTTTTAAAACTTGTTTTTGTTTAAAAATTTTAAAAATTTCGAATTCTACGGTCCTTTCACATAAACATTAAAGGGCTGCCGACGGCATGTGTCGATCCCCTCATCAACAAATTGGCAAGTAGCCAACAGGGCAGAGAGCGCGCCCTGGGGAGAGGCGCAGAGACTTTTTCTTTCCAGCGCGTAACCGATTGACTATGCCGTCGGCATCCCTTTAATGAATATGACTTATTTTGACAAACCTTAAAACAAGTTTGATGTGGTACATTACGTTATTTCAGGGACGGCGCCTCGCAGACGAGATCCCAGTTCGTTTTGCGGTACTACATGCGTGATTTCGAATGCGTATCCTATCCATACGGTATGTTTTAAATGCAGGAAATTATTTCTATTATTTTACTCACATTTTATTAAAGGTTAATATCCAGTTTTTCGCACAAAAAATCGATGATTGTCAGCCCTGAAACGGTATTTGCATCAATCATTATTGAAAAATTGAGTTTTAGTTAAGGACGATTAGGAGAATTGAAACCATCCGGCTTATGAAAATAGTGCTGAGATTCGTTTTAAAATAAAGTTAATTTTTGACGCCTGGACTATTTGAATAACTTGAGCAGTTAAGTAAAAATCAAGATGAAATTTTCTTGGAACATTTTTTTGAAAACTTTTACCGGTCCGTTTAACTCATTCAGCAAGCCTGAATTGGCTTCTAATTACCTGAAAACGGAGGATTTATTTTTTAAAGTGATCTAGATTTTAGATTTCAGTTTTTAAATAAAATTAATTACCGCAAACAATCCTAAAAGCCAAAGGCAACCCGTATTTAACGCCCTTTCGCGCCCTTTCACGCCCTCCTGTAAATAACGCCCCCTGTATTTCGCGCCCCTAGTATTTAACGCTCTCCTGTAAATAACGCACTGCAAAACGAGCTTTTTCCTGTAAATAACGCCCTTTTCGTGGTCATTTGGAGGGCGTTAAATACAGAAGGGCGTTAAATACAGGGGGCGTTATTTACAGGGGGCGCGAAATACAGGAGGGCGCGAAAGGGCGTGAAGGGGCGTTAAATACGGGTTGCCAAAGCCAAATATTCCACAGCGATTACGACGCCGATTGGCTAGGCCTTGAATTTTTGCTAACACGACGGGCATGAAACATTTATAATTTCGCGTCCGTAAAACTATGTTTTAGGTGCAATTTCAGTTAGTGAAATTACTAACTTCACTTTACCATAAACCACAAACTATAATGTCCTTTAAATATGCGGTTTTACAAATAAACTAGGTCGACTTAAAATTCCGCCTATTCATTTATCGCCATTTGGCTATTATTTACTTCACATTGGGAAAATTTGTATGGCATACTGCTAGAGAAAAAATTATTATAACCCGTAAAGCTCGAGGGCAATAATATTTTTTTTGAAAAACACTTTTCAAAAAAATTCCGTTTTCAAAAGCTTTGGCTGCTACCTTTCTCCCCTTTTCACTCGCACCAAATTCCGGCCAATCCGGCGACGCGCAGGGGGTGCTACAAAAAACGATGAGCCGTAAAAAGGAATGTTTCGGGACCGGGTTAGGCGGGCGGCTGTCTCCTTTGGCCGATCACAAAAACCAGGTCACCGGGGCGAGCGAGCGGAGTGAGCCTGATTAGGCGTATCCGATCCTCTTCTCTACGCCCGCGTCCTATAGACGTTTTTGTACGAAAGTGCCTATAGACGCGTCGATTTTGAGGGGCTGGTGAAGAAAGAGATATTTTGTAAACGGTTGTTACAAGTGAAAAAGGTACTCATGAGCGGTAGAACTTCTTAATTTTGCAATCCTTGATCAATTTGATCGGCTTGTTTATCAAAGTAGGACCACCAGGGAAACAAGTTAAGGATGTTTCAGGTTATAAAAGTAACGAGCAAAGCAAGAATTTCATAATTTAGGTCGAATCCGGCTTCAAAATTTTATAGCGTTTTTCTAGGTAGATTTTGGGCAGACAACCAAGGAAAATTTTGCTAAGAAATTGATGTTTCGGGGCATTTCTTAAACTTGCCACGCAAGTCAAATATTCAAAATCAACTATAATAAAAAGGTAGGGGTGTCTGTCCGTCTGTCATGTCCCGGATTCAACTCGAAGGGGAAAGGAGCTAGAGCTTAGCTCTCTTCGGATTCGGATAGAGCGTGGTCAGAAACCCCCAAACTGATCAAAAAATTACAAAAAAGTTTTAGTTTAAACCAGGGTTGAAAAGCCGCTTCGCGACTTTTCAACCCTGGCCCCGTCTCGGACCCCATACTATTCTTCCCGTTGCATAATTGTCCTCCATTCAGAAGACAAAAAAAAATGAAAAACAACCCCTTCTGCCTCTTTATATAGGTTACGGCCCACTTCCGGTCTATGCTAATTACTCCTAACAAAGAGGTTTTTACAAAAACCTAAATTTAATAGCGAAAATGCCTAATTTTTAAAAATCTGATATGTGTGCATTGATCCCTAGACCATTACGCACCTAATGACGTATCATACGTAGCCCAATACCCATCCCTTCTTGAGATATCCTCCGGACAGACATCCGGAAGTGGATGCAAAGTGGCACACACACACACACACACACAAACACTATTTTTTTATATATAGTAGGATTATTAAAATTAACTTTGAAAGTGGTGCCTTAATAAAACGAGTGAGGGCCCCTCTCCCGGGAGGCCACGCCCCCTTTCCCCTCGCCCCTCTTCGCCAGCCCCTTCGCGCGCCCAGTTCGCTTTCTTATGTTACTTTAATACTTTTAAATACTTTTTAATTATGTTAATTAATTATTTAAATTATTTAAAGTATCATCGGGAAGGTATTTAGGTTGTTTTTGACGTGGATTTCGACTATGGGGGGTATCCGAAGCCATCAGGAAGGTATTTAGGTAGTTTTTTAAGGGGGTTTCGGCTATGGGGTATCTGAAGCCATCAGGGAAGGTATTTTGGTAGTTTTTTAAGGGGGTTTCGGCTATGGGGGGTATCTGAAGCCATCAGGAAGGTATTTTGGTAGTTTTTTAAGGGGGTTTCGGCTATGGGGGTATCTGAAGCCATCAGGAAGGTATTTTGGTAGTTTTTTTAAGGGGGTTTCGGCTATGGGGGGTATCTGAAGCCATCAGGAAGGTATTTTGGTAGTTTTTTAAGGGGTTTCGGCTATGGGGGTATCTGAAGCCATCAGGAAGGTATTTTGGTAGTTTTTAAGGGGTTTCGGCTATGGGGGTATCTGGAAGCCATCAGGAAGGTATTTTGGTAGTTTTTTAAGGGGTTTCGGCTATGGGGGTATCTGAAGCCATCAGGAAGGTATTTTGGTAGTTTTTTAAGGGGTTTCGGCTATGGGGGTATCTGAAGCCATCAGGAAGGTATTTTGGTAGTTTTTTAAGGGGGTTTCGGCTATGGGGGGTATCTGAAGCCATCAGGAAGGTATTTTGGTAGTTTTTTAAGGGGGTTTCGGCTATGGGGGGTATCTGAAGCCATCAGGAAGGTATTTAGGTAGTTTTTTAAGGGGGTTTCGGCTATGGGGGGTATCTGAAGCCATCAGGAAGGTATTTTGTTATTTTTTAAGGGGGTTTCGGCTATGGGGGGTATCTGAAGCCACCACGAAGGTATCAAAGTAGTTTTTTAAGGGGATTTCGGCTAGGGGAGGGATCTGAAGCCATCGGGGAGGTAGCTATGTTTTTGTGGCGGGGGGTGGCTAGAGGAGGTATCTGAATCCATCAGTGTAGGTATTGCCATGAAGGCATCAGCGTAAGGTAGGGATGAAATGTGGTGGTGTAGAATATCGAGGGTAGCCCGAAGTCCAGCCGATTACAGTCGCGAAGCGGCGGTAATCGGCCGGTTTTATACGGTTTTGGATGTGATTCCGATCAAAAACTCCAGCAAAAAAAGGTTTGCTAAAAAAATTGATGTTTGAAGTTAAAAAGGTACCAAAGAGGACGCGAATTTCTCAATTTTGCGTTTCTCCCGCATCCTACTATATATAAAAAAATAGTGTCTGTGTGTGTGTGTGTGTGTGTGTGTGTGTGTGTGTGTGTGTGTGTGTGTGTGTGCCACTTTGCATGCAACTTCCGTCAGGTTGTTCCAGTCGTATCTCAAGAAGGAGAGTAGTTAGGGGCATGTTTGATACGTCATTAGGAGCGTAATGGTCTGGAGATGACTGCACGCATATCAGATATATCAAAATCCCTTATTTTCGACATTAAATTTTAGTTTTTGTTGAAAAGCCGAGGCCCTCTTTGTTAGGAAACAATTAGCATACACCGGAAGTGGCGGTAGCCTATATAAAGGAGCAGAACGCGCATTTTTCATTTTTTTCAGCCTCGGTGGGGCACAATTAGGCAAAATGAAGAGCATCATATGATGAGACGGGGCCAGGGCTGAAAAGCCGCGAAGCGGCTTTTCAACCCTGGTCTACTATAATAATTTTGCTGTGGTGTCCGTCCGTCATGTCCCGAATTCAACTCGAAGGGGAAAGGCGCTAGAGCTTAGATCTCTTCGGATTCGGATAGAGCGTGGTCAGAAACCCCCAAACTGATAAAAAAAATTACGAAAAAGTTTTTGTTTAAATTATTAAAATTAACTTTGAAAGTTTTTCCTTAGTAAAAAGGAGTGGGGGCCCCTCTCCCGGGAGGCCACGCCCCTTTTCCCTTCGCCCCTCTTCCCCAGGCCCCGCGCCAGATGCCTTTTTTGAGTTACTTTAATACTTTTCAGCCATGGGGGGGGGGGTATCCGAAACCATCCAGAAGGTATGTAGGTAGTTTTTGAAGGGGGATTTCGGCTATGGGGGGGTATCTGAAGCCATCAGGGAGGTATTTATGTTGTTTTTGAAGGGGTTTTCGGCCATGAGGGGTATCTGAAGCGGTTAGCGTGAGTATTGATGGAAGTAGGGGAGGATGTGAGGGAGTAGGACATGTAGGGTAGCCCGAAGGCCAGATGGTTGCAGTCGCGAAGCGACTGTAGCCATCTGGTGTTCCATAATTTTTGAATGCTTTTTTGATATAGATATACAGGGTGTCCCAAACCCCCCACCTCGGCATTTGGCCGCCTTCTTTTGCATCGGTACCGAAATTTTACCAGCGATGGGGACCCATAAAAACTATGTGCAGCCGAATTTTCTAAGCAAAATATTGTAAAACAAAAAAGTTATATCGAAATTAAGCTCTATTTTGCCTATTTCACCACGATTTTAATGGATTTGGACCCAAAATGTTTAGCAAAAATGAAGAGGGCACATTTTCCATCCGGAGAAAATTTTTGATTTACGAAAATTACGTCTAAATTGGGACTTTTAATCACTTGTTGTTAAAAATTGACAGAAACCTTCCCGAAAATGACGATTTTTGGGAAAATTACTCAAAATCGGCATGCTAATTGCGAAAACATAGCCAAAAATGAGTACCAGCGTTTCCCAAATATCAGTTTTTTAGCGTTAACTTTTTTTGTTTTACAATATTTTGCTTGGAAAATTCGGCTGCACATAGTTTTTATGGGTCCCCGTCGCTGGTAAAAATTTGGCCCCGATGCGATAGAAGACGGCCAAATGCCGAGGGGTTTTTTTTTGGGACACCCTGTAGATTTTAGATGGATAGAAGATTTTGAGCGGACAATCATGACACTGTGTTAAAAAAGGATGTTTCTGATCAAAAAGGAACTCACGAGAGTGGGAATTTCTTGATTTTGCCATTCCAAGTATATAGCTGTTTCGGTGCTAATGCACTTGGGGGGGGGCAGTCCCGATTTTGACGACAGGACGCTCCAAATGCCGTTTTTTAAACTCGAAGCCTCTGGAAAAGCTAAGCCAAGCCTAAGCCTAGGCTTAGCTTCATACAAACGAAGTCTAAGCTTAGCTTGAGCCAAGCTAAGCTTAGCTCTAAGCTTAGTCCTAAATGACCCCATTTTGAATACCTAAGACAATTTAAAGCTAAAGTTAAGCTTAGCTTGGGCTTAAGCTTAAGCCTAAGCCTAAGCTAAGCTTAGTTAAAGCTAAGTTAAGCCTAGGCTTAAGCAGAAAACCAAGTAGCTTAAGCGGAGCGTCTCGTAACCCCTTACTACCAATTTCGGACTGCCCCCCTAACTGCATTAGCACCGCTGTTTCTTTCCGGGTAGTTGGAGGGTTCGAGCAGATGTGCAAGGCAAAAAGTGTGTAAAAATTTTGATGTTTCCGCCTCAAAAGATACTCATGAGACGGAGAAATTCTGAATAACGCTTAGCCACAACCAGAAAAAAACCAGAAAAAAATTTCGGAGGGGGAGGGATTTTGGGAAAAATAGGTTGCAGAGCATTAAAAATTGTCTTAAAAACCTTACTAAATAGCGCGGCAGGCCGAAAAATTTATGAGAAAGAACAATCACATTGGGGAAAACCTTTATGAACTTTTCGGGGCCCCGGGGCCTACATTTACCATTTACCATTTTATTACATATACCATTTTTATTGTAGGCCACTGCGCTAACGACGATTCGGAGCCGCGGCTTTTCCGTTACAAGGAGGAATGCGAGGATGCTTGCCTGAGCGGACCCGGAAATCTGGGAACCCCGAAGGTCAGTGACATTTTTGAAATTTAAAATATCACATGTTAACAATATTTATTAATTTGTAGAAAATGTGTGTGCCACTAATATATCACATTATTTGCGGTGTCGTTTCGCCTCCTAACTTTAGGCCCGGGTGGGAAAATGGAGATTTTAATTGGTGATGATTTTAATTAGATATTGATGACATGGCTTTTTCACACCTTACGGATTATGCATGAAACCCATTAAAGCAACGGAAAAGCCGTTGCTGTGGAATTTTAAATTTAAATTAAAAATTAATTTAAATTTTGCGAAAATCGGGGTACTAGAAAATCAATTACCCAAAAATCAACTAGACTAATTATTTTCGATATATCGATCGTTTTAAAGCTATTCATTTTTCTATTCATAGCTATTCATAACTATTCATAGCTATTCATTTGGATGATAGAGTGTCGATGATTTTTGCTAGGTTATCTTGTCCAATTAAACTACGCCCATTAATCCCGCAAAAATTTTTTATTTTCATTTTATTTTTAGCAAAATTCTTTTATAAATTAAACCAGATTTACAGTAAATAGACGTATCTCAATGGATCCACTGATTTCCTTACGGATTCTTGCTCATTGAGAATTGAAATGCGTCTTGTAAGTTAACACCAAGTTTTGCTCTTAAGCTTTATGGCTGAAACCAGTAGAGTTTACCGCGGATTACGACGCTGGTCCTACTGTATATATATAGTAAACAGTGACTTTGTGCGCCACTTTACCTGCAATATGAATATCTATTGTTTTTTAAATAAATCAAACCAATAAACTGCTCGTCGATTATTAGGTGATTTTTGCTTATTTTTATATTTTTTTAATGAAACTCTTGAATTAACACAATTTTTTGCGATCGAAGTCCATTTTTGAAATCTATATTCGTAATATTTATTTTTATATTCTGACAGAACGAAGAACTTAAGCAAGCGTAGTGTATTTGAAACTACGAATTAAAAATTCTTTGAAAAAGGAGTTTTTCTTTTTACAAATGTGCCGGCCAAATTAAATACAGCGATACTACTAATACTACTAACTTCCACTGTTTTTTTTAAATTTAGGTTGGTTTTTTATAAATAACTGAATTTATCGTTTCAGTTGACCAATTTATCAAGTGAAATAATTAGACTACTAATCAAAATTTTTGAAAAAAGAATGTTTTACCTTTTTACCAATCTGCGCGCAAATTCTATGCAGCAGTGTTTGACCTTCACATTTTCTAGCGTTCAGGTTTTTTTTCTAAATAACACTTTTATCGTGTTTGCTGTGTTCTGTGTTCCTAACCCATCTTTCAGCAGAAAAACACGAGCATCGACAACTTTGCGATGCCTTGGGAGGAGGAGAAGCAGAGCGAGAGAGAAGAGCCGCAGAGAAGCAGAGATGGGGCAGATCCCGAATTTACCTATGCCACTCCGCCCAACTGGGTTTGCACTATACTACGAAAAATTACTAAAAACGTTTGCTGTTGATATAACCGGTTTAAATGGGGCTAACCGATTACGTGATTTTCATGGTGATTTAGCCTAAAATTCAACAATCAATTCCAAGTAATAATTTAATTGTAAAAAATTAAATTAAATTAAATTGAACTTCATGATCAGGCACACTGCTAAAAATTATGGGTAGTTACGCCCTTTTAGGCACGTAACACATTTTTTTTTCTTCAGCTTTGCTTTTTTTGGGGTAAGGTGTTTCATTTACTAGGGCAATAATAGTTAGCTAATGCCCTGCAATTCCTTATCACTGAAAATCTCCAAATAATCTTGACAAAAATTAGACTTTTTGATAGTTTTATTTATTTACGAGAATAAGACTCTAATATTAAGATTATAGTAACCATATAGTAACGATATTTAAATTATTCAAACAACTAATTCATTAACTTTCGACGTAAGTTTTTGGAAAATATTTGTTTCAATGAAAAAGTAGTTTTCGGGTAAAGAAAATGCGTTGATAGAACCAGCAGTAGCGTTGAAACATCATTTGCAGGAGACCAAATCTTCGGAAGCCCCGGAAACGACCAGCTCGACGACGCCGACCACGACGACCACCACGGAATCCGAGTCAGAATCCGAGGAATCCAACGAATCGACTGAAGCACCCCGAACTGGTTAGTGCTACGGTTTAATTTTTAGCTTGATAATTAGCCAAAACACTTTTAAATATCTCCCACTAAAAGGGGCTTTCTAGTTTGTGCTACAGCGCTTATTTAAGAAGTAACATAGCGTTTAAAAGGCATATTAAAGGTGCAGGCAAGGCATTACTGCATCGTTTCCCCCTGCAAAACCAAATACTTTCAAATTCAAGGATGAGCACTAATCGACTACGAAATAGGGTCGAAATGTCACTTAGCTAATCACAAAAACCTATTATTTTTAGCCGAAAGCTTGAAGGGTTTCATCAAAAACGCAATTAAATTACGGGAAATATCCGATAATAAATAATTTGTGCAATTCAGCAAATTTTTCCTACTAATGCGCTGCTAAAAACACACGTTTCAACTCCTGCTAATGCTTAATTAGTAACGGACATAGCACTAAATGCTGTTGCCCAACCAACTCTCAGTTAACAAAACGGAGGTATTACAAAAATTTCGTAAAAATTCAAAATAAAATCGGCAAAGTCCAAATCAAAATTAAATCTGTATTTGTATTTTTCCTGACGCCTATTTCCTATTTCCTATTTCATTTTGCCGGCATCAATCCATATTCTTATTTTTCTGTCATTGCTGCAGATATTGAAAAAAAACATGTTTCGTGCAAGGCTAAAGGAAGATAGGAAAAGGTTTCAACAATGGTTGGATGCGCCGTAATCTAGAATTCATCAATCTTTGTAGAATGCGAGCGTCGTCGTGCCGCGTCTGGAAGCGGAGGCCTTGTCCGCGGTGGCTGGATCCCAGAATGTTCTCCAGAAGATGGATCTTTCGAAAAGATGCAATGCGAACCGAATGGCCACTCGTGCTTTTGTGTCGATCATCGGGTAAGGATGGATGTTTCATGCAACTTAGAAGTTCAGTAACAAAAAGTATTTTCAATTACTCTCGGTAGGTACAGGCAAAATTTGTTCAACATAACACACAATGCCTCTCGTAATCTTTATAAAACTTGTAATAAAACCTTGTAAAGCTTTGGCGTTTATAGGAATAAAACACTGTTGATAAAAACTTCCTCTTTTTTTCGTTATTAGAAGAATCGGGTCTTATCGGAAAAGGTTGGTCCAGCCGTTAATGTTTGCTCTTACTTTTCGCATTCAAATCTGTTAATTCGGGGTTAGCGGGCGTAGCCCGCTTAACCCCTTTTGGTTTGAGGTACCCCCCCATACGACTCTTTTGGGGTCCTTTTCCGGATTTAAAAAAGAACCAAGCATCGGATCGCAAACCTGAATACACCATCGGAACCGGCGACACTTTTTGCATACTATAAGTTTTTAAAAATTGAAAAAGATTGAAATTTCGAATTTTAACAGCCGATTTAAATTGCGTTTCGAGGGGGGGGGGGTCTGCGTTTGTATGTATGTATGCCACAAAACCTTTGTAGTCGTCAAAAAGTGCCTTCCCATCATCCGTTTGGGCTGAAATTTTGCACAGTTATTGGGTGAATGATAATCTCGGACCGCAAGAAGAGTTTTTTTCAAAATAGGCTTTTAAAAAATTTATATTTAATTTTTAAGTTTAAAAGCTAAATTGCGGCCAAAACAAGGGTTAATGATGTCCGTTTGGGCTGAAATTTTGCTCAAATATGCATTAGACCTTGCCGGAAAAAGTAAAGAAGAAATTGCATCGAAAGAATGCTTTTTCTCTGAGATATTATAACTTTAAACCTTTGCCATACGGGGCGCCACCCTCCCCTTTGGCGGCCCCAGTCCCGAGTCAGGGCGGGCGGGTCTAGCATCCCCAAGACAGGCCTCCAGTCTCCCCGTTGGCCTAGTGGTTAGCACGCTGTACTGGGAAGACTTGGCTGCCGAGTTCGAACCCCGCCCGCGACATGGTTTTTGCCGATTGGCCCTTATGGTTTCTAGTGCCGTTACGCAGCGCCGCAGGCAAATTTTTTTGAAGTTTTGCGTACAAGGGTTCATCTGAATAAGTATTCCTTGGCTTATTTTACGATCTTAACAATAAGATTGAGGCAAAAAGGGCTAAATTCTCTCTAAGGCTAAAAAGAGTCTTTTCAAAAAAGGGCTTTTGGTTTTCGCAAAAAGAGAAGAATTCTCGCGGCAACAAAAAGAGCTAAATTCCTTTCAAACTCTTAAAAATGCCACAAAATGTGGGATCAACCAAAAGTTGCTGGCACCTTATTAAAATGGACAGGTTTCTAGCGGTTTCGGCTTGCAAATAATTTTTGTAGTATGATCTATTTGCACTTTCTTGAAATTAATCTGTGGACCTGACCTGTGATCTGGGATGCTAACGAGTTTATTAAGATTTTACATAGCCAGCAACTTTTTGTTGTTCCCGCATTCTGTGGCATTTTTAAGAGTTTGAAAGGAATTTAGCTCTTTTTGTTGCCGCGAGAATTCTTCTCTTTTTGCGAAAACCAAAAGCCCTTTTTTGAAAAGACTCTTTTTAGCCTTAGAGATTTGTCATTATTGGAAGGTAGAACGGCCTCGAAAAGGCGGAAAAATCAGGATGAGCAGAAAAATGTTGCACAAGATTTATGGTCGTGCTTGTCCAGCACCATGGTAATAGGCTGGCAGTAGTGCACAAAAACGGTCTTTCACAAATTCGCGAATAAAACGGAACCAAAATTTTGCCAATATATCTGTTATCTGTTTATCTGAAAATATCAGTAATGCGTGTACCCTAGCTCTCTCATTTTATATAAATTTTTTTTGGGCACACGAGAAACACTGTTTCAAAAATTTGCCAGCTAAACTGAACCAAAATGCATACAATTGTTCTTGTCGAAGAAATCAAATATCAATCAATCAAAATCAAATAAATCCTGATTTTCTGCTCTCACACTATCTATTGTTTTTTCTACAGGGAATCGAGCTGCCGAACTCGCGGATGCGCAGCGGAAAGCCCGACTGCGAGAGCATCGCCACAGCCGGCGCTCCACGCACCAATGAATGCCAGGGCGGTCCCGTGCCTGGCCCGTGCTCCACCTCACTACAAAGGTATGTCATTTTTTATTCAATTCAGCTGCTCTGTCTGGTAGTGGTTATTAAAGTTCCACTTGTTTTTATTAAACAAGATTCATCGAATCTGTATTAAGATTAGCCTGATTGCTCGATAGACATACTCAGCCGAAACACGTTTTTTGGAAGAAAATCGTGGTTTCAGTTTGCGAACAAGCGCTGATACACAAAGATATCTTAAATTCTTGATCAAAATTAATGTTTGTCAGCAACTACTCAACTTTATTAATACTCTATTTTCATAATCACATCGCCCTATCTTTGCTGGTTCATCAGCTCTGCCTTATCAATGTTGCCAATTTACAGGTGGTACTACGACGAGTCGGCGAAGAAGTGCAAGACGTTCCATTATTCGGGATGCGGCGGAAATGGAAATAACTACGCGACGGAACACGCGTGCCACGATCGCTGTGCCCCCGTTGCCCAAGTGGCCCCGAAATGCGAGAGAGTATGTTTCAACCTTACGCCTAGTCTTACCCAAGGATATGGCATGTAATTCACCATTTATACCTACCACAAAAACTAAAAACACAAGTGTTCAGTCCTTAAGATAAAATGGAATTCTAAAAATGGCAGTATTTTTGCAGCAAAATCTGCTAGTATTTCCTTTTTTATTAAATTTCTAAAGTTTAATTAAATGTTTTAATTTTTGAGCGCGTCTATTATTTTAAAAATCTGCCTTTGCTGAAATATTATTGCCATGAACTTTATTGTTACAAAAAATAGAGAGTTTTTGGCTGTTAGAAATGACAAAACGAACAATAAATGGCAGAAAGGAGAAAAATTAGATCAATAACGTTTCCAAAGTCTAAAAAGTTAAACCAGTTTGCAAAAATGATGTTTCAAAATATTTTCTGCTTCGGCAAAAATTTGTAAAACCAATCCTCACCGGTTGTTAGCTTTTACTTGTATTTTAGGTTTGAAAAAATACGCTAATCGATCGTTATTAAATTGAATAGAGTTTAAATTCTAATCCTTTTTGCAGGGCGAGCCTTTGAAAACCGTGACTGGCGCGCCGATCAACTGCGCGAAGCGCGATTGCCCCTCCGGCTACGAGTGCTCCACCGTACAGGGAAGCGCCGTCTGCTGCCCACAGAACGACAAGACTGGTACGGTATTATATAATTTTTCTCACTATATGTTTTATTTTAAAACAAGCGAAATTTTAATACAATCTATTAAATGAAATGATATTTGGCAAAAAGAATATGAAAAGTTACTTTTTTGAGGGGTGGCAAAAAATTCGCTTAACTTTAATGCTGCTTGGAGTCAGTGCAAGAAAACTTGACAAGTTAACGATTTTAATTTCAACTTTAATAATTCTGATATGAGTTTGTCGATATCTTATTAGCATGATCCGTCGATGTATTGTGGGTATTTTTGGTTTCTCAAGGCGAAAACGGGGGTTGGGTTCCCAGCGGAAATCTTTATTTTAAAAGATAAATAAAAGGGTAAAATGTTTCAAAAATATGATGAGCCTGAAAAACTTTATGTACCTAATTTCGTCGTCGTTAACAACCCTATTCCCAACTGAACTTTACATCACTTAATTTAGGTGAATTTATTTATTTAATTTATACAGGAACGTGTTTCATTTTCGAATAATATAGAAGGATTGCTTAATTTTGATTCCCGATCCACAGTGTGGCCCCCGTCCAAAATAGAAGAGAATTTTTGTTATGAGATTTTAATTGTAGCTTTAATATTTGTGTTATGTCTTTGTCGATATTTTGTTAAAATTATTTGTCGATGTTGCTGATATTTTTGGCTTCTCATGGCGAGAACAGGGATTGGATTCCCCGTGGAAATCTGGATTTTAGAAAATATAGGGATAAATTGTTTCTAAAATACGAACTTAAAAAATTAAAAAAAAACCAGGGTTGAAAAACCGCTTCGCGGCTTTTCAACCCTGACCCCGTCCAGGACCGGTGAAACTCCTTAATTTGCATGTTTCTTCCTGAATTCTAGCAAGAAAAAAGTGAAAAACGGCTCCTCTGTCCCTTTATATAGGCTCTTCCTACTCCCGGCGCATGCTAATTTCCCCTAACAAACAAGGTTTTACAAAAACCTATTTTTAATAGCGAAAACCACAATTTTTCAAAATGTTTATGTGTGTGCAGTCGATTCCGGACCATTCTAAACCTATTGTCGTTTCTTCCCTATCCAAAAAACCCTTCCCCGAGGCTGTAGGAGCGGAACATCCTAACGGAAGTGCATGCAATTTTCGTAACGCTATTTTGCAGTGGGAGCCCTGGATTCTGGACGACCGGCCGTCGGCGGTGACGTCTGCCAGATGCCAAAGGAGCGAGGACCCTGCGATCACTACGAGCTACGTTTCTACTACAACCCCGACAACAAGGTATCGTTTTTTAATAGTTTGTTCACCGAGAGTAAGGCATTTTTCCACTGCAGATTAATTACCCATCGAACAAAATTGCCCACGGAAATTCGGAAACAGATGTTTATACCCCTGAAAACCCTAGGACTTTCCCCTAAAATTCAAATCCACTAGAATTTTGACGCTCGCTGGTCTATTTTTCCATCCAAAAAATATTTTTAGTTCCTAGTTTTGTTTATTTAAGTTTACAATCAATATTTCGAATTTTTAACGCATGAAACACTCCTATTTTCCCGTTAGATTTTTAATTCACAGCGAATTCTATCGCTCCATGGCCTCTGTTTGATACCTTTTTTAATATTTTTAATGTTTGGCTAAATTTTTTAAGATTTTGGACAATACCTTCTTTTTAATTGAATGAATTAACTGTTATTAAATGTCTTGGGCTACGAAGGATTATATTCAATAAATAAGTCTAGGGATCCGTTGACGATAAAACGTTTGATTTTTAATAGTTTGTTTCAGGAATTCTCAAATTTTTTTATGCATTTCCAAAGTTATGTTCGGAGTAATTTTTGGTCCATGGAAGCAATCATAATTGCCCGCTAAAATTCTATCGCTCGATAGTCTGATTTTAATTTTATAGATTTTAGTAGATTTTAGCGCTTTTTTTGATCAATACTCTTTGCTTTTTTAGGAATCGGTTGGCTTTTATTAGTTTTGAAGCGCGGTCTATGTTCCACTATTAAAGTTAATAAAATAGTCAACGGATCCAATCAAGATAATACATTTTATTTTAACGCATGTTTCAGGAGTGCAAATACTTCTTCTACGGCGGTTGCGAGGGAAATGGCAACAATTTCGAGAAGGTCGAGGACTGCGAGCAGCGATGCAATGTTACACGCGTAAGTTCGTGTACCTTAATTTTAGTCGATACTTTAAGCTTCTTTTCTTAAAGATGTTGCAGATATTTTTGGGGTCTTTTAGAGAAAATATTACTTTAATTTGGATTTGATTTTATAGATTTAATTCTAGCGGATTAACGGCTGCTATAATAATAAATTGAAATGTTTTTGCAGGCGCCCCGTTTCGGCCACATCTCGCACCCGCTGAACGCCAACCAGCCTCTGGGTACGGTACCCGGAATCCGTGTCACTACCACTACTGCTACGACTACGCGACGCTCCGCCACTACCACCACCGCCAAGCCCACTACGGCCGCTAGGACGAGGTTAGTAAATCCTTCGATTTCTAGAAAAAGGTGTTTTACTGAAAGTGGAAAACCCAATAATTCGGTGGCCTTGAATTCAGAGCCCATCATTTCCCATTAAAAGGTTTATTTATTTATGAAAATAGAATTAATGAAATTCTCTGGCCACTAGCGGATTTGTCTAGTCCAAAACTTGTACATTTTTTTCAATCTTAAATGTTTCACCGTTTTTAGTGTACCGAATGATTTTTTTGGGTATAATGAGACGAGTGGCTTTTTCTCAAAATGTTAATTTAAATATTGCTAGAAATTAATAATAAAATTTTTCTGTTGCAGTACCCACCCGCCGACGACCACGACGAAGGCGGCGCCCCTTCAGAAGCTGTTCACCCTCAAGCCCGAGATGCCCGACGCCGATTTGGCTCTGCTCGAAGGTACGGTAATTTATGAAGCTGGATTTTAATAGGATTTCGATGGAAGTACTGTAGAAACTAATGAGTATTATAGAGTAGAAATTAATGAGTATAAATTGCTACTATTACTAGTATTATAATTTTTACGATTAATTATATCCTACATGGTAGTTTTTTGTTTAATGAAAAATCCTTTAAAAAATCCCAAAAAAACCACTCATTTAGTTGATGATGGTAAGTTGCTGAGAGGGGCAAGTTTGGCGTTGTTATTCCGTACGCAGGGCTCGAAGATCTATTGGTTATAGATTTTGATTTCGTATTAAAAAAAGATGAAACATTTTTAGAACATCCAAAATTTAGTTTTTCCAAAGATCGAGCCCAGCCGTTTTTCACCAAAAAGCATGTGTTTCATAGTTGTTTATGTTGTTGCATGCACTGCATGCCCGTCAATGGGTCACGTTTGTTTTGGGAGTTGGAGAGAAACGATCGAAAGAAAGGAGGAGTCTAATTGTAAAAAAAAACATGTTACACAAAATTAAATGTTTCGTAACATTTCCAAAGTTCAAGAAACCACTTGTTGGCATTACCGTGATTACCAACGCCTAAAAAGCGGAAATTTTAAAAATTCAAAAATTTATTTTTGTCAATTTCTCCAATGAGCCTGAGCCGTTCCTCTTCAATTCCCACCTAAATGCATGTTGTTTTTCTGTTATTTACTTTTATTTTCTGGTTCAGTTTTGGCATTTTTAGTGAACCGTTGCAAGCACCCGCGCGACGTCGGAACGTGCCGCGGCCAATTTGTCCGCTGGTTCTTCAACACGGAAAGTCTGGAATGCGAGGTAAGTAGGGTTATATAGCCAGATTAAAAATATAATATTAGTTCATTAAGTAACCATGTGAAAAATCAAAATAGGCTTCCTCGTCTCAATAAGCATGCCAAATCATTTTTTCACTCATTTTTTGTCGAAACAGTTTTTTGTATCTGATTAAGGTGTATATAATTGTTAAATCGAGGTTAAACTTGATTTTGCCTTAACGAATGAATGCCTTATAATGCCATAATAAAAGCCTTTGTTCTAGGTATTCACCTACTCTGGATGTGCCGGAAATGGCAATAACTTTGCTACGCGTGAAGAGTGCGCACTGACCTGCTCGCGTCTGGCCCCTACTACCGCCCAGCCGCTGCCTGATACCGGTAAGAGAGCGAGAGAGAGAGAGAGAGAGATAGGGAGAGAGAGAGAGAGTGAGAGAATAAGAGAGACAGAGAGAGAATAACGGAGACAGAGAGAGAAGAAAAAGGAGAAATCGCCTCCAAAACACCTAGGTTTCATGCTAAAAAGCATATCTAAAAAATTAATATTCACTAAGTACGTGAGACCATTATATAAGGATCAGAAAATGCTCCGGGTTATATAAAGTCTGTACACTTGTTTTCAGAGCTCCTAGCCAAGGAAAACGCATGACTTCATATATGCGGAATTTTGCCAAAAAATCTAGGGTGGCGATCACCTGTCCGAAAAACACCTGTCCGAAAAACAACTGTCCGAAAAACAACTGTCCGAAAAATCGCCTGTCCGAAAAAACATCTGTCCGAAAAAATATCTGTCCGAAAAGTCGCCTGTCCGAAAAATCGCCTGTCCGAAAATCATCCATCCGAAAATCCACTGTCCGAAAAGTAAATTTCGGACCTTGAAATCGAAGTACGGCCGAAACTTCCCAAGACCTTCAGGTAATCTATTCAAACCGGATTTTGGACAAAATGGGAAGCTAGTTTCCAGGGATACGAACCGCTACTGTATCATAAATTTTTGGAGAGTGACTCAATGAGCTCGGGCAGGCATTCCCTAAGATACGGCCGATGAAACTTGGTTTGGTCACGATTCCGGGGCTTGCCCCACGTGGGGCTATCTGGTGGCAGTTATACCTCAAACCTTTAAGAACTGAGTAAGTAATTCCAAAAGGGTTTTGATTGGCTGCTTCGTACATTAGTTTTTCGGACAGGTGTTTTTCGGACAGTCGACTTTTCGGACATACGGTTTTTCGGATAGACGATTTTCGGACAAGTGTTTTTTCGGACACATGTTTGTTCGGACGGGTGACTTTTCGGACACATGTTTTTCGGACAGGTGTTTTTCGGACAGATGATTTTCGGACAGGTGTTTGGCAATCAAAAATCTAGAATATAAGAAAATTCTAATCGATCACTTTAACTTTTTAGCGCTTCAATAGCATTTTTCGATTTTTATCAAAAATGTGTTTCTCAAAAATTAGCCGTCTAAAAATTAAAGTCTGCTTCAATCCCAAAGAAACCCGTATATCAATCCTGGTAATACAAAGTTCGAAAAAAGCGCAAACTTTTCCATTACAGTACCCCCAGAGGTGGCCAACGTGTGTCTGCATGACGTTGATGCCGGCGAGTGCAATGGTGTTTTCAAGGTAAGCATACAAAAATTAATTTAATAGTAGTTTTCTTAATTCATTTTCTGTGAGGTAAGCCTGAGAACCGCTTTTTGATTTGGCTTCAAGGAAGAAGCGATTACTACGTATTTACTGACGGAGTAGTTGAAAATCTATGCAACATGTTTTCTCCAAATTTTGGAGAGCGGTTTTCGTTCGCTACAATTTTCTTGATATTCATAGAACAAATGAAGCCGAATTCAAGTTCCTAAAGCAGCTCTATATCTAAAAATGCTCGAAGCATGTTTTTTTTTTTCAAAATTTAAAAATGCTTTTGGCTTTTCCTTAATTTTTAACGATGTTCTTTAATGTTCATCTAACCCGTAGCATTTCGCAATAAAAAAAATATTAAACCTGAAAATTTATAAAAAACCGTACTTGTATACATTTGCGGTATTTGAAAACAACTCGAAGTGGCATTAAAAATCTGTAGTTATCTCGCTATTTTGAGAAAACTAGATACGATCCTTTCATGGATCGTATCTAGTTTTCTCAAAATTTTAATCCTTTTGTATCTAGATTTAATGGGTCTGAATCATTAAGAATAGGATTGATTATCAGATTTCTTAAATAAAATTTGATAGTATGTGTCAAATTTTTAGCGCTTCGCCTTCGACGGTGAGACCGAGAACTGCCGTCCTTTTACCTACGGTGGATGTGGAGGTAAGGACTATTATTTATAGCTTTCGTTTATGCCCGATTTTAAATTGAATTTCGAAACAGGCGTGCCGAATTAAAATTTCGACATTTTTCGACTTTTATTTTTAAAAATTATTTTCAAAACAAAATCGCGCTTTTTAAATTGAATTGAAACATACTGATTTCAGGCAATGGAAACAACTTTGCCACCATCGACGAGTGCGAGCAAAAGTGTCACGGAGTTAAGGTAAGCTTTTAAGCTTAGTCTTATTTTTGGCAGATAAAGGTTAAAATATAGAACTTACTTTGCCAGTATATTTTTTGGAACTTTCCCAATTTGATGGCTACGATACTAGGCGTAAATTTAGCCAGTTTTGGCAATTTATCGCGAAACGCAAAATTTTCACCAATTATCGAAAATTAAAAAATATATTGCGAAAAAATTAAATTTGTAGTTGATACCGTTTTTATAATTGATTTTAATGCTTTCTCACATACGTTGAATTAATAGAAAAATTTGTGAAACATTTGTTTCGAAAAAACGTGCAATACATTGTCCTTTTATCTTTTCGTTTATCGTCTTTTGCGTTGCTACCTATCTAGAATTGTAATGCAGTTTTTAAACTATATTAATTTTATATCGTTAATTTTATCAAATTTACAAAGTTTTTATTAATATTTAATTATACACTGTATTCAAATTAAATTATATATTTTTAGCTGCCCAAGGGTGTCGAGCCCTCAAAGGTGCACACCGGAGTGACGACTGATGCCCCAATTCCGCCTACCATTAATGTGTGCGATCATCCGGTTGATAAGGGACCTTGCGCCGGGACCTTCCAGGTTTTTCTTGCTACATCCTTGGACTTATTCCCGAAAATCGTTTTTTTTTCATTGACAAAATTGGTTAAAACATTTTTTCATGTGCTACAAGAAAGTCAAATATATAAGACTAAAATATATTGACAATATAAACAACAAGATAAAATGAAGGGAATTATATTTCTAGATTTCCAGTAATTATGCATCCAAACTTTTCCGAAATACAAAAGCCGTTGAAACATTTTTCCACACCAGAGCTTCATTTTGTAGGATTTTAGGTGATAGCTTGCATTTAGAGTACAGAATTATCTTAAGAACTAGACGGCAATCTTTTTAGTAACCCTTAAATAGCAAGAAATGACAGCGAATAATGTAAATCTGATCTCGCCTTCTCATTCACAAAAACCATGTTTCATCAAAAATCTTTAGCAAATACGTTCCTTCCGGATTAAAATACGATCCGTAGGATATTTATTATTCATATTTTTATAATTATTGTTGGTTATTATTATTATTTAGGTTTTGATACCTAGATGTATCATTTTTATTTCTTCAAATGTAATCCTCATTTTCAGCGTTTCGCCTTCGACCAGCTGACCGGTGACTGTCTACAGTTCACGTACGGAGGATGTGGAGGTGAGGAAATATTGATCTGTATTGGAGCAGGGAGTAACCAACGTCCAAAGGGAGAAACGTGAAACAAACATTTTACGAAATTTTCTGGCTTGAAAATGTCATTTGGGAGCGCAATTGTTTATAGGAAAGCTTTCGTTAAGGGGCACTGCGTATCGGTTTTTTAAATTCACAATTTTTGGGGATTGATTCAACTTTTTTCTCGAAATTTAAGGGAATTGAATGTTTGCGATGACCTAACACATCGCTCAGGATGCGCACTATTTTTTTTAAGACTTACAATTTTTACTGTTCGATGCAACATTTTTTGCAAAATTGTGCATGATTTTAAACATTACTACAATTATTTTACATTATTTTCATAGGGGTAGTACCAACTGAAGTCGCCAGCCGAAGTGCCACAAAGAATGCCTACCTGGGAGGAAGCCCAACCAGACCAATCCCACCTTATTAGCTGTGGTAGATTTTAAGCTGGAATGACAAATAATGAGATTTGACAAAAATGATGATAATCAGAAGCGTTATAATGAGATAGTTGAAAAAAAAGAAATAGATGGACTTTTAGATAATTCCAAGACGATACCGTCGCTGATAATCAACGATTGCTCAATATTTCTTACTGAACTGGCTAACACAAATTCAATAGAAGAGCTTAGTTGCAATTAATGTATTTCTTAACGAATTAATGAAACCTTTAGTAATACGGTTTATTAGTGACGGGGAACATTCTCAATTGCGTCCGATTTGGTCTACCTGGCACTGAACTCCAGAACCAGAATTTTTAATATCACGTAGTATTCTTCAGAATATATCAAGGTACGATAAATGAGATAGCCCCAGCACAATCGAGCATATGATGAAATTCAATTTGAATTGCAGAATGAATCATTATTCTACTTCGCCACCTGCCATCAGTTTTCATATGTTCAAATAGCCTGGCAATTTAACCTGAATAGGGTTATTGTTGGTGTATTTGGCACGCTCATTTGCCATGAGAATAAGGAAATGGTGTATACTAGTTTGGTGGCGCAGGCACTGTTTTTCAGAACCAGTTCAGCCAAATTGAACAAGTTAGCTTTAAAAAAGATTTTGATTGATGATTGGCAATTATATTCAATTTGACTATATTGTATTGACTTGTTATTTACAGTAATACCTGTGAGGTTCTGGTGCCGCCAGCGCCGCGTGCAGAATCCGGCTTGCACGTATGAGGGACGCCCAAGGATGTCACTGATTACCCCTCCAGAGTCTCCAAATTGGGTCAATTTTAACGGGTTTTGAAGGGTCAAAAGAGATTATGAATTTGATGTCTAGAGATTCATTAGCTATTTTAGGTTACTTATCATCTCGGCATATTCTGAGAAGATTTGATGGATTGATAAACAAAACTCCCAGAGCGGAAACGATAAAAATCAGATTGAACCGAACTGGGAAATGCCGATTATTTGACAGTAACTATCACATTTTGACCCTAATCCACCTTTATATAGGTTGCGGACCATTACTTAATTCCTGTCCTTCATAATAATTGATGATGTTTAAAATTGGAGATAGATTTGATATTTACAATATTTGCCACCAAAAATTATTCTCGAGGTTTTGTACTTCGACTAAATATTTGTTATTTTAACAAACAACCCTTAGAGACTGTCGGAATCCTGAATTGTATTTTAAGCTGTTTTGCTCTTTTCGTTAGATCGGTTGAAACGACGCTATGCCTATCTTCTGATTCAGACAATTTCTGTACTTTTCTTTTGAAGGTTAGAGGGAAGGATACAGTTTGTGCACTTCACCTCAAAATAGAGGCATTTGAGGGAACATCCAGCCCATTTTATTTAGCCGCAGCTATGATAAATTCTGGAATTAAAAAACCTAAATTTCCAGCCCCCATCCCAATCAGTGCCCAGTGCAAGAAGCTGAAGTTTGACATTGATGTCAAGCAGTGCACTGTTCCAGAATCTGTAAGGATGCCAGAAGAACTATGGTTTTGTTGAGTTTACGGAGGGTCAAATTGATTGAGAGTTTGCATAGAAAAACTTACGCTAGCTCCTATTAACATTTTCCCTCTTGTTTTTCCTGATGAGCTGATGGAAAATGGTCATGGCAGATTCAAAGCCAACACTGATTCGCGCTGCTAATATGAGTTGTATCTGCCATCCTATTTTTTTCTAAATAGTTATGGGAACAGCCGGAATTGGACAACGAAAATTAAATATCTGATAACAAAATCCCCGAAAATTAAGAGCGTGCAGAATGAATGTTTGAATGGTAGAAATTGTTTGTGGAGATTGGATGCATTGATCAATTGATATTCTTATCTTGAACAATTTCACGATATATTAGCTTCACTCCAGTACAAATTTGATAATGTCAGGATTATGAGATCTCGGATACGTGAAATTGAGCAATATTTACAAGAATAAGAACCGACTGGTTGAATATTTTTATATCCAAGACTTCTCCGTGGCAAATAAGGATTTTATTCATATTTTTCAACCCCTTTTAGCCACTAATGGAGTCCGAAAAATATAAGAATCGATAGTTGATCAAAAAAAAATAATCTTGCGGCCGAAATGGTAATCTGACCAGAAAAGTTTTGTTTGTTGTTTTTGCTGCAGATAGGGCAGTTACTATTAACATTGATTTGTACTTTACGACCTGAATAAATTAGAATAAAAAAGAAAATGAAAAAAACTCCGACTCGATGACGGAAAAACATTTTGGCCAGAATAAAAAATGTGATTTTAGTGGCTAGTGGTTCCTTCAATCCAAGATAATTTGATTTTTAACCCATCCAATATTATTAAGATGCCGACAAAGTCAATTGGATACGCCAAGAAAATATCTCAGTCTCTCAGCGTGCAAGCTCTTGCCCTGTTATTATGTGTCAATTGTTGATGGGGGGAGGGGATCTGATGCATACTGTTACAGCCCGCATATTATAAGATTCTATACAGATAGTGTGCCCGCTACCCACCGGCCCTCAACTTCACCACCAATTGCCCGAATCAATCAGGTTGGTAATGAGTCCCGGGCTTCAATTTATTGGGAATGGAAACCTATGAACTGAATCAAATTAGAAAACATTGCTCATGGGCATTTGAATGGTATATATTTAATGCTATGGAGAATCAAACCACTTAGTTCGGTTCATCACACTCCCTGTTTACCATTTTCAAGAACTGAATTTTAAGGAATTTTTTTATAGTTGCTGCGTCACCGAGGCCGAACCACCCCGCCCTCCATCACCCGATCACCGCCCGGGCCTCGCGCCAGCTCCAACCACCAATTTGAGGTAGTTAGACTTATTAGGTTATGATGAGGAATATAAAAATATTCCGGTAATACTGACCTTATTCATTTATTCTGAGCAATAACTGACATTTTTTAGTCAACCAATTTTAGATACTGGTTTTATGTCCATCTCGAAATTTGTATGAAGAAATCAATTAAGAAAGTGCAATAGTTACGTTGGTAGTGTGGCTAAAGATAGAGGAGAATTGAGCTGTAAATAGAATTGAACCATTTTTTTTTTCAGACTTCGATAAGACCCCATCGATCGATCGGCCCCCACCTGGCCCAACGCGCATGTGTCCGGTACGGAGTTTTAACAAACAATTTGGTATTTAAATAGAGAATTGTCTCTGAAAAATCCGATTTTTTTCTTGAATGCAATTACCAAAGAAATTCAAAGATATTTTGGCAACAATTCTAAGTGTTGGTTGGAATGACTCTACTCTACGCTTGAGAACCCGTCCGCTGCGACTCGTTCACTGACTGACCACCCCACGAAACTGATCCCAACCGCACGGAAATTATGAATCAAGTTTCAGATAGAGCTAATATTGTGAATTTTGGCTAGTTGTACTTTATCGGCGGTTCTAGAGTATTTATGTAAACAGGGAATTTTCATTTTAAAAAAAGCCTTAGATACTTTGCATTTTCTTAAAAATTTTCAAAAAAGTGTTTGCTCCTATTTGATAAAACCCGTTGTTTTCAATTTCCATAATTAAAACTTTGTAGGTTGGTTAAAATCAGCTCATAAACATTTCAAATTGAATTATTAACATTTGATTTGTACTAAAATTTAAAATCCAAGTAGGTTGACTGCTCGAAAGAATGAATGTTTTACTGAATTGCCGCATTTCTTTGTAAAAGCACGGAACAATTTTATTCGTCGTTCGTAGTCGTTCAATTTTAGATCATTTTTGGTTTTATAAACGATTAAAGTGAATCAGAATTGTTAGGCGTTTCGGTAAACTTTTAAAATACTCATTATCCAGTCGCCGATGACGATGACGGAGAAATGCCTGCAGCCGGTCGACCCGGGACCGTGCAGCCACTTTGTCGATCGGTACTTCTTCGACCCGGCCGACGGACAGTGCCATCCATTTAAGGTATCAATTTAATTCTATCTCAGTTTAATATATACGTTTAATATAATATGTTTAATACAAAAAGAAAATCTTTTTATAATTGAATGGTTTCCCAAATAAAATAACAAAAACCTAATTTAAAAATAAGCTGATTTACAGTACGGAGGCTGCGCCGGCAACCGTAACCACTTCTTCACGCTCCGCGAGTGCGAGATCCACTGCGCCCGGTTTAGCCGTGAGTTTCTAGCAACGTTTTTATATGTTTTTCTAAAGTATTTCCCGTTCCCTGATTTTTCTATGTTTCACGAAAGGCACCACAGCAAGCTTGACGTGTCGGCGCACTTTTAGGACAGTTTTGATATATTTTCAGTTTCAGCTAGTGTCGGTAATTTTAGAAACATATAGATTTTCCGCATTCTCGTGAATTTGGTTTGCACAAATACTAACGTTAAATAACATGTAAATTACTTGTAAAAACCCGCTAAAAATTAAGTAATTAATAGAGCTGCTTGAAGCCTAAATTTTATAATCTGGACGGTAGAACCGAAGGCATTACCCGTTTCAAGTATCCCGCAAGCAAGAATTTAAATAAAACATTGTTTTTTTAATTAAACACGTTATAACGAATTATTAGAAATCGAATTTATCGGCGTAGAGAAATTTCTAAAATCTATCTAAATACAATAATTATTTCATCTTTAACTGTATTTTTAATTCGATGGGAAAATCGAGATAGAATTTTTGGAGCCTTAAAAATCTCAAATATTAGCAATCGCATAAATCACTAATCCTATAATTTTTATGAAACAACTTTTTCCACATTCAAAAGATCTAATTTTGATTTATTCGATAAATAATAAGATGTAACAGCAAAAGCTACTTTTCCGACCAAAAAAACACCAACCCAATTTTGTAAAACACATTTTTTTTGCACAGCCACGTCGACAAAATAATTTATTGGAGATCAGAATAGAGAGTATATAGATTAGTGACTGCTCAAATCACTAATGTTATCATTGTAATAAAACACAGTTATTCACAGTGACTCAATTGAAAAATTTAATGTTAGTTTGGCGTATTAATCGGTATCGATATATTGATGATTGCTAACTGCCCTGATTAATCCATAAGTTTTTATAAAACACGCTTTTTCACACCCCTTCGGTTAAAAAATTTAGCATTGAACTTTGGTTGCTTACTGCTACCCAGTGGGAATTAACAACCCCTCAAAGCACTAATCCCGTAACTTTTCTAAAACACACGTTTTCTGCACCCACCCACTTTTTTAGCACACCCATCACCCGACGCACCGCAGTGGCCGATGCGCGAGCATTTTGCCGCCTTCATCGACCGTATCTCCGGCTATATCCCACAAATCAACACCCAATTTAACGACAGAATCGAAAACCCCGACACGCCACAACTTGCCGAGATCCCCGAGCAACAACTCGCCCTCATCCAAAAACACCTGAAAAAACTAGGACACCCTGAAAATGGCAGCCAATTTGTAGCCATTCAAATTGAGGACGACCCAAATCCGGGAGGGAGCTTGAAGATTAAAAAAATTGAGCATGAACTGGTCCCCGGCCACTTTTTGGCGTATTCAAATGGCCCGAAAATTGAGGGAGACTACGGTAGGATTCAAGGATATGAAGGGAGTACGGTAGATTTTAAAAAAGCTGAAAATTACGAACTACAAGCAAGACCATTAAAATTGCCAGAAGCCAGGGAGCAAGGAAACCTTTTGAAACTTCAAACGTTTTCGATGCTTGAAAATCAGCGAGAAAGATCGACTGTCGCAAATTTTAATGAAAATCAATTGCAAAATCGACTGGCGATGCACAAAATGGAAGAGGTTCAACAAGTTCAAGCAGTTCAGCGACATTTTGAGAATCCGCAAGGCCAAATTAAGAATTTTCGAACGGATGAAGCTGCTGATAAGAAAGGCAATTTTTCTCTCACCCATCCTGAAGATTCTACTTCGAAAAATACAAAAATCAAGACTACAGTAACCCTGAACAATCACGACAGGGCTTTTGGGACGCTCCCGAGACATGACGACCACGGATTGCTAATCAACCCTCTTAACCGGCATAATGCTTTTGTGAAACATAATTTCCGCACCGCTGCCTATTCTGCACCCCGCACCACCGTGACCGAATTTTCTACCGTAGAACCGCAAAATAATGCCATAACTAAATCTGTAATAACCGAAAAACCACACCGGAATGCTTCCTTAAAAATCGAGCAGCCCAGGGAGACAACGGGTATTTCGACAGAATTACGACGTGAAGATAAGGGTAAAATTTTGCAGTCAAGGTACAGCCACAATGATGACACCACCAGCCACGGGAGATTGAATCGAGCAGAGATTGCGGAAGCAGCTGAAATGATGAAACATCAAAGTTCCTCTAAAATTGAGAAACCAAGCGTTAACAATTTGGCCTCGGAAAATGTCCGGAATTTGGATGAAAATAGGCGCCAAATGCCCGCAGAAGATGCGGCTATTTTAAAAGGAAAATTCAATGAGAGAATGAAGGAGGATCAAAATATTGTCAACGGACGGGCTAATATCCCATTGTCACCCAGACCAAGCCCGGATTTAGACAATTTTGTGAAACATGAAAATTTTTCAGGAATTGAAGACCCGGCCTATCAACCTAAACCCGACCAAAAGCACTTTAATTTGCATGAGAATATCGGCAAAATTGATACCATGAAAGCTGCAGATATCTTGCAAAAAAATTCGAGCCGGAATAACCACAGTGTATTACTAAAGAGGCCGAAAATCCATCATAGATCTTCTGAGAAACATCTGAATCTGAAGAATTCGGAAAATTCTGGCAATCCCCGCAATTTGCATACAATTTTGCAAAATTCTGAGCAGCAATCCAGTCATCTATTGGCCAAACCGCGCTTCGTTTTTGCCGCCAACCCGGTGAAAAATCACAACTTTTCCGGCGCTGAGGAATCAATGATTCACTATCAAGGCCGCATTAAATCTGTTCAACAAACCCCAGCTAGTGAAATTTTTTCGAAACATCAAATTTCTTCTCCACAAGATCCAACTACCCAAATCCCAATTACAACTACCGTACTCGGTCGCCATCTTCAAATTCTATCCAACGACCCCGATACCGTACCCCAGGCCCGGCCTCATGCTGGCGCCGTGCCTATCTACGCGCCGCCCTTCGATATTTCCCCAACAATGGTCCCAGAATATTATGGTAAATCCAGCTACCGTAATCCTGATATGGTAGCTGGGTACCGGAGGCAAATTCGCGAAGAAACGGAAGGGACTACGGTGCATCCGATATTACTGGATTTTTCGAAAAATACCGAAAGTGTGATACAGGCCCAAACGACTAGCAGGCCAATTTTGCACATAACAAGTTTTCAAAATCGGCATGACCGTGTCGAAACCCTGAAAAAAATCAAAAACGACAAGTTTGGCAAGTTCAACAGAATTCCTTGAAAATGCCATGGAAGATATGGCATTTCCGAAGCGCCCAGTTACAGTAGAAGAACCAAACTTTAGAACTGAAAAATTCTTAGAATCCACTACCGTACCCACAACTACCGTAGACCCAATTCTACGACTCAAAGAATTATACCTGGCTAGTGTTCACCAACGTAGCGCCTCGGAATCCGAGGACAATTCCGGGTATCTGGACAATTCCGAGCCGAAACAATTTTCCGCCAAGAGTATCGAAACGGAATGGCGTACCCTGGCGGAAAACCCGGAATTTAAGGAATTCACAATCACCTCAAATTTGCCTGAAAACTACCACCCACTGCGACTAACCAACATCGCACGCGCACCCCCCAAATTCACGAAAAGTAGGTGTGTCTCCAATCGGGGAACATGTTTTGTTAATGTTTTTGAAAAATGTTTCAAAATAAATTAAAAATCGGTTAGTGAATTATAAGGTTTCTCTGTCGTAAAGCAACATGTTCGAGTCCTGTACTTTTAAAATATTTTTAAACCAAAAAAAATTGAATAAGAAGTTTAGGGCATTTATCAAACGCCTGAAAAATATTTTACAAAAATAAGAAACGATGGGATTGAGCAAAACCTACTTCTTTGATAGTTTTGCAAAATTAAAACACACTTTCCTAGCGAACCGCTTGTCCTAATCCAGCCTAAAATTATCGAAATTATGTTTCGCCAAATAGCCTGAACCTGTAGAAATCTCATTAGGTAATTCATTGGTATTAAAAGTCATTCGAAACAGATTATATTAACAATGAGTCGAGCATAAGTAATTTTCTGCCTGTTTTCAGTAAATAAAACCATGATCCAGTTTTTCAAATAGGTGGTTGTAAAAAATTTTGAACCTAAAGGCGATGACGAACTTTCAGTCTTGCAAAAAGCTGTTTCGTGAAAATGCCTACAACATCGGAAAACTTTATGAGGCATTCTTTCCATAATTCAAAATCGACTCTTCGTCATTTTATAAATTAAAGAAATTAAAATGTTGACAAAAGAGTCTCGGGCCTTTTAATAAATGTCTCAGAAACCCTGCCCAATTAATAAAAACTTGCAATCATATTTGACGAAATGTTATGATAAAGAAAGTGATTTTGAAAATTCTAAATGTTTTCATAATTTGTAAATTATAATGCGTATAATTTGAATGTTTTTTAGAAAACGTGTTTCATTTAGGTGTAAAATTTGGAACTTTATATAGTAATGCGTGTAAATCGTTTTTTTTTTATAAAAATATGATTCATAAAACTAACTTATTCTGTGAAAATTTTAAAAATTAATGAAATTTTCTTAGGTCAAGGACAAGATTAAGCAAAAAAATATTGATAAAATGCATGAAAATAATAATGTTAAATTAGTAAATATTTTAGGGGAGGCAAATTTTAGGCACGGTTGTGTTTCAGGCACCCCTATCCTCATTTCATTGCAGGTTTTGTTGCACCCACCTCTGTCGAGCAGCCATCCGCATCCACTCCACTCGGCACCAAAATACGCCTCGGACGTGTCTTTTCGGAAGAAGAAGACGAAGATGAAGATGAACAAGAAGAGGAAGTCGTTGATGAACCCCTTCAGACCCCTGATCGACGCCCGGTTGCACCCCCTGGCACGCAATTCGGTTCTCGCATCTCGATTAGCACCACAAAGGGCACCACCAGGCGCGTTAGCACGACCACAACTCGAAGGAGTACGACTACAACTACCACGACCTCTTCGACAAGTACAGAGGAAGAGGAGGAGGAATCTGAAGAAGTTCAGGCTCCTAGGGCCTCGAGGCCGAGCCTGGCTACTGCTGCTCCGAAGGTGAGCACGACCGGAGCGGCGGTCAAGTCCGAGGAGTTGGAGACGGTCGAGGAGTCGGAGGAGGTCGAGGACGAGCCGAAGGTCGAGCTCAAGCAGTCCCTAGAGAAATCGGAAGACAAGAATTTTGCAGAGCTCCCAAAATCTGTGACGAGCATAAAGTCCGAGGAGGTCGAGGAGTCTGTAGATGAGCCGGAGGATGAGAAGAAGAGGGTTTTGAAGGAGGACGAGGTTCCGGAGCATGAAAAGAGCATCTTAAAGGGACGTGGAAGTCTCGAGAAAGCTGCATCTGAGGAAAACCCCGTTCAAAAAGTGCAGGAAATTCCGGAAAAAATTTTAAAGGCCCTCGAAACCCTCAAAAAATCCACAGAAACCCTTGAGGAATCTGAGGAATCGGGTATGGAACCTGCCGAAGTCCTCGAAACTGACCCGATGACTATCGAAGAGCTGGCCGCAGCCACCCATAAAGAGAGCACCACCCCATTGAGCACGAGCACCACCCCCGTTATTCTAGTCCCGAGCACCACACCTGCAGCTGTACGCAACGCTACCCTGCACGCGGTGCGCATCCTCCCCAAAAAGCCCACCACCACCGCACCGCTCTTTATCGAGCAGGGCGAGAGAGAGCACGAGAAGGAGAAGGAGCAAGAGAATAAGAGCAGCACGGAGCAAAGGATGCCTTCAGAAACGGTAGATGTCGACCCTGAACAGCTGAAGATGGATGAGGAGGATGGAGATATGGATGAGATCAAGGTAAGCTTATTAGGTATTTATTATTTTTTGAAAAATCTTGCAATTTTGGAAAAATTATGAAACAGCTTCGGATTATGCTGAAATTAGCGGGTTTTCAAAATTTTTAGTTTTATTAAGTTTTGAAACATCAATTTGTGTCGGTATTTTTTGGCAGGATTCATCGAAATTTGGATTCAATAAGAATTCAAAATGAACAAAAATATAACTTATTTATTCAATTAAATCTTCAAATAGAATATTTTTAAAAGAAGAGTTGTTTTTGCTTTTAGCTGAGTTTTAATTTAGATTTTAATTTAAACAATAAATGGAATAATTTAACTCAGATAACATGTTTCCTGACCCTTAAAACTAAAAAAAAAATGTAAAATTAGGAAGGTTTCTGCTATGCATTTTTCGCGAAATGATCCAAATTATGGCCATAAACAATTCTACTAACAATAAGATCGCCAAACATTTTTCCTCGATTCCGCTTATTTTCAAAAGCATATTTGTACAAATACTTTCAATTTTCCAATGGAAATTTAGCAAGTTGTATGAATTTTATCACATTAAAACAGGGGTAAATGGACGCAACTACCGGGCTCTACGCGAAGTTTAGCAATTGTCTGTGACGAAACATACATTTTCAGCCCACGACCAGTTCCTCGTCGACGACCACCACGACTACCACTTCTCCCTCCACCACTACTACAACCACCACCACCCCGAGGTACGCTAGAACCAATAATTTATATTGTAATTAAAACTATTCCATTTTATCATTAATATTAATATATTATTTACTTTAATATCATTTGTTAAATTCACGCCAAAATCGCCAGCTATCGTTTGGGCGGACCAGGAAACGCGATATTATAAAAAGCATTCACGCCCCCGACCACAAAAGAGCTTGAAACACAAAAAAATTCCAGCGCAAAAAGTGGTAAAAGCTGCCTGGTACTGCTTTAAGTTGAAGGAACGCATCTTTAATTTTTAAGCGCGTTAAAAGCTATATGTTTGCGTTTCAAAAAATTCCCATTGCTGTTTTTATTTACGTTTAAATAGCCGAACGAATAGAAAAAGAAGGAAAATTAATAATAAAACAAAACAATAAAAAAACTCGAATTAATAAAACAAAAAAATTGTGAAACTATAAAATTTCTTGAAACACCTTGATTTAAAAATGGCAAAACATTTTCAAAAAGTCCTCTTAATGTAATTGTAATGAGTTAGAGTAGACAAATTGTGAGAAATCTATGAATAATTACAACAAAAATTTCAGGCCCGTCCCAGTGCACCCAGAAGCTGCAGGCCGCGAGCCCGTTCCCCTGGCCCCGGTTGGCATTGGCCGATCGATGGAGAGCTTGGATCTGGATAGAATTGGTATCATTTTTGATTTTAAAAGCATTGATTTGAAGTTCGCATAGCGATAACGCAATTAGATTAAGGTAATTTAAGGTTTCGACAGAACTTTCGACTTTTGACAGAAGAATCATTTTAGAAAAAATGTTAAACCCCACAATACGAATATTAATAAAGCCACGAGATATCGAAAAGAAATTAGTTTTTTTATATATTAAAATAAACCCAAATTAAACCAGGCTTTTCGTAATAAAATCCATAATCAAACTGACAAAAAACTATTTAGCGGAGCCAACCCTATCCACCACCCAGCAGCCACCCCGCCCCGCCCCTGCCGCCAAGCCCGTTCAACAGGTTTGAAAATCAAATTTTCGAATTTTGTAAAATTCAATGTTTCATCGCTTTCTAGGCAAATTCATTTTGACAACGATTTAGTAAAGTTGACTCAATGGCCTAAAAATCATCGGTCTACGCAGATATGCATTATTTGGAACCTACGTTTTTGTTTTTAAAATTTATCTGAAACAACTATTTTTTTACAGCCACTCGTCAACCCGGTGATCGTGTGCGCCCTCCCCCCGGATGCTGGCCACTGCAAGGACTACGTCCCGAGATGGTAATTTGATATAATTTTTTGTAAATTTTAAAATATTAGAACAAATTTTGCTTCCACATCATTTTTTATTCTAGGTAAAGATTAATTAATTGTTTTCAATCGTCTTAAATTAGCTGAACGACATCAAATTTAATTCAAAAAATGATCTGACGGTTAGGGCGAAAAACATGATAGATCAACCAAAACTTTTGGAATCAATGTTTCAAAAAATCATGACTTCACCGATTTTCCGCAACATTTAATTTGTCGTTTAGCAAACTGACTGCCATCATTTAATTGCCAATTTGTCTATATGCATTTTTGAAGCAATGCTTAATTAAAGCTAGAAACAAATTAGGAGGCTAGAATAATTAGAAATTAGAAGTTAGTTTAAAAAAAAGTAGAAACCTGAAGGCCAAAATGATAGTCAGCGATGTTTCAAAAATGTTTCAAAAATCTAGCCGAATGCAGCTTTTCTGCTTGTAATAATCTGCTCCACTCAAGCCATGAAAAGTAATTTATTTTTTCTGTTACCGTGTAGAAAAACAGTAAAGTTCGCTAGAATATAAAGGTTTAAATATTATTAGTATTAAAAAATCTTTCAAGGTTCTTCAACGCGGAATCCGGGCAGTGCGAGCAGTTCTCGTACGGATCGTGCGGCGGCAATGCCAACAATTTCTTCGATCGGTGGGTTGCAAGGACTACCGGGAATATCACAAATCAAAAAAAAGCTGCCTTTATGGATTCTCCTAAAACATATTTTCGGAAAAAAATGAAAAGTCCGCGTCGAAGGCTTTTGATTTTTTGTAGCTGTTTTTATTTTGGTAGGGAATGGAAGAGCGATTCTATTGCCATAAAAAATTAGCAAGAAGTAATACAATTTCACTGAAACATATTCTTCCAAAGATAAATTTTCAAAATGTTGCTAACCTAATTCCTAACCTAACTGGTCTAATTTTCGCATACTACTCCCTATCAGAATTGGAATTACGGCCTCTGCGATATCGGAAATTACGGGAAATTGATGAAACATTTGTTTTTAAAAAATATTGCATCGCCGGGGGCCAGTGTTCTGCAAGGCTCTATTAAATATTGGATTTTTCGCCACGCGACACATAACGCCGCCTCCCAAAAAACTTTCCATTGCGTGATCAAATCCGTTCCTCTTGAAGCAGCCAAACACCGCGTACGCGTCGCGTGTTGCGTGCGGCCGAAAAAGGCTAAAAAATCTATAGCTAGAAAAATCCATAATAATGTCTTGCCATCCTTTTAAACTCGAAAGGCCGCGCAATTTATTATTTTGTTATGATTACATTCATTACCGAAGAAATATGGTTAGTAAGGAGACCTGAAATCCACAGTCTCTATGCAATTAGCTGAAACATTTTTTCAGAAAGTCAATTCAAAATTTACAAAAATTATACATTTTTCAGCGCAACCTGCGAAGTCGGCTGTATCGCGATGCATCGGCCGATGGGTGTTCTGAACAGGGTACGGTAGCCGGGTCATTTTTTAGACTTCCATTTTAGATCCCGGAGCGCTGCGCCCACGAAAAGGAGCCCGGCTTTGGCGGCGGCTACAATGTGTTGTGGTCAGTGGTTTAAGTTACCTTTTTTTTATTTGGATCAGCTAGCTTTTTTTAGATTAATCTCAATCTAATTTTAATTATAAAATGTTTCATCATTTCTTGGTACTTGATGCATACATTAAAAATCAATGGTAGATCGAATCAAGAAAAAACACTGTGGAGGACAAATTTGCAAAGAAATGCGTTGCAAATTTTATTAGTATTTTTAATTAAGTTAATTTAATTTAGTTAAATTAATTTTAATTTAATTTAAATAATTTGTAAAGTAAAAATTCCGGACGTTTGGGCCAATTTCCTAGTTTTACGCATTTAGTACTTGCTCAGAGCAGTATTTTTTGAGCCTAGAAAAATTTTTCCAGTAAATTGCGACTGATGAAATAAATTTGTCAGAATATTGCTATTTAATTATCTTTTTTTTATCTTCTGTCATCTCGTAAAATTAGGAGTTTATGGATAAAAACTTCACCTAGGCTAAACCACCTGAAAAAACTTTTGAAAAAACAAGTTTCAAATATGTGCCTAACTTGCGGTGCTTGTAACGGACCGATATGTTTACACTTTTATTCGTCCAATAATGTTAGCGGACAAGTATTACTTTTAACTTTTTTGGTTCTTTCGCATTATCGGGGGTGCAATTTTTTAAAAGATCGAATTTTCTATAATATAAACAACGGATTAGACTTTTGATTAATCCTAAACGCCGAAACTTTATAAATTTTGATCAAAACATACAAAATTAATATAGATTTTTCGACAAAAAAATGGCTGATTTTCGACCAGCATTTCAAATAAAAATTTATTAAGCGTTTTTTGCTTGTTCTTTTTGCGGTTCAAATATAGCTAAATATAATTAAAACTTTATTAAAACGCGGCAGAATTCAAGCCCAATTATTTGATTATCAACAGCTTCAAATCCCCCTCCAAACCGAAACATTGAATTTATCGCATTTTTCTAGGTACTTCAACACGAAGAACCTGCGGTGCGAGCAGTTCATCTACCAGGGATCCGGCGGAAACCCCAATCGATTCGTCAGCATTACCGCCTGCCAGCATCAGTGCAGCTGTAAGTATTTTTTAACTTTTATTATTTATTTTTAATGACACCATTTTTAAAGAATTTAATTCTGAAATCAGATCATTTTTATTTGCGCGGAAAGCCAAAAGTTACCAAAACTCATTTTGTTTTTAGCCGAAGGACCCTTCGCCCAACCGCAGCCGCCCACCACACAATCCACGCAAAGGTAAGTGCTTCATAAATTTAATTAGGTTTAAGAATGACTAAGGTATCAATTAAATTGCATGCTTAATGCCGATTAATTTTAATTGTAATGAACAATGATAACCATTGGTCCTAAAGAGAGTTCTTTTTCAAGTGTAATGGTTGAAACATGCTTATTTATTTCTCGAAAAAACAATGTTTTACGCTCGTTATCGCATGAAATCGAAATGTTTTATGTAATACACCTCCTGAAACGCGGTGATCTTTCGTTTCCGTAAAATCTATAGCAAAAATCTGCGGATAATTTTTTGTTTCTTTGAAAACGAAAGAATACGATTTTATGGTGCTTTGGCATTATCTGGGGGTGGGGGTATCATTCGAATCCAATTTTCTAAAAATAGATAACTTTCTTTAAAGTTTCTAAATTGTTTTTACTATTCCTGTACACAAAAAAATCATAAGCTTGTATAAAAAATACAAAAATATCAATTTTTCGGCCAGGTGACCAATTTTCGGCATTTTTTACTTCAATTATCGTTCTATGAAGAAAACGATTAAAACATTGACTATTACACTACTAGGGCCACCTGGAGTTATAGGAAAAAGCCACCCCCGAGATTTCCGTGTTTCACACATATGCAAAGTTCTAGAAAATTTGCTTAATTTAGCAGCTCGCAATACGGCCATCAGATATTCCTGCACCCATTAATAATTTTGTCATGACCTAAAAAAAACTGCGCAAATCCTCAGTGGTTATTAAAGCTTTTTCCTAGAAACATTAATTTTTTCCAGGCCCACCACCCAAAATCCATTGGATTCGACGGATGCCGTCACCGTACCATTCGTCGCCACGCAGCCACCACAGCCCGTGCCCCAGGTACCGTATTTTAAGGATCAATGGGACTGTAATATTGTAAGTACCTTAAATGAGGTTTAAATTAAATTTATTTGTTTAATTCATGGCAAAAACGATGGTCTATGAAGACTACTAAGCAACTTCAGGCATGCGATACCCCAAAATAAAGCGTAGCATCTTTTTTGAAAAGTCGAATTCCAATTTCCAGTTATTTAATCTTCAGATATATGCGAAAACCCGAAATTTAAAGATTTTAATTACTATAAAATGCGAGAAATTTACTAATCAATAGGTTATTCCATAAATTTTCGATAGATATATTCAGGTAAGTTGATTAATTCCTTTTTAAATAAGGAACTTCCACTCTTACATTTTGGGAACATATTTATTAAAACGTTTAACTTTTAAATTTTATTTAAAATTGTTTGATAGTATATTTACGAAAATGCGTAAACAGGGTACTGTAGCTCGGCACGTCAAATTTTCATACCCGATTACCAGATTTTCATAGCTATACCATAATGCCATTACCCCCACACAAACTCGCCCGCAGCCTATGGTTTTGAGAAACATATTTTCAAAAAAAAATCTGATTTATTGTGTAAATCACGAATGTTAGTTTTAAATGGCTAAAGCATGGCTGTAAAATTGCCTTCATAAACTATTATTTTATTTTATTTTTTCGCGACGAATTTGTTAAAAAATTATTTCACAAAAAAACACCCGGTTGTCGCTCCCAATTAGTATTTTCAAACCTTCCCTTTGATCATTAAATAATGTCTTTTCATGGTTTAAAGGCTGATTCACAAATTAATTTTCAGACAAATATTTTAAAGCAATGACAATCGACACTTGGTGGAATGATTATAGCAGACCACAATTTTTTATTTATAATTTTACCGCGAAACACTCAAATTTCAGCCACCGAAAATGTCGAAGGAGGACATGGAGAAGTTCGACAAAGAGTACAGCCACGAGGAGATGGAGAAGGAGGATGAGGATGAGGACGAGGAGGAGGCCGATGTCTCCGCTGACCATCGAGCCCTTCTCGAGCCAATCCCCGATCATGTCAAATCCTTCGAAAAGGTATGTTTCTATCGTCAGCCTTGTCACTCAACCTTGTCACTGGGATTCATCGAAATCAAAATCACTGGTTCGAACGCAAACTAAACTTTTTAAAATTTTCCAGTTTTAGCATTTATGAAAAATGTTATTAGAACCCGTTTTCAACTATGCAAAAAACGTAATGCACGATTTTGCATTAGCTATCCATCCATGTTTTCAGAACAGAATCCAAAGCCAAATGTGGTCATTTAAACCACTGAAATGGTACCATTAAATAGAACATACTTTTCTAATCGCATTTTTGTATGATTTTCAAGAAATTTTCCTCAGCCTTACTAGATATTTTTAATGCCCAACTATGTAGGAAAAACAAAAATTGAGGGGCTTTTTGCGTGACGTTTGTTATACTGTTTTCCATAAAACCACGCCGAGTCCCTATTTTTAGCGCAAATTTGAAGTTTAAAAGCTGTTTAAAGTGATTGTTTTACAGGGCACCAGAAGCTTCAGCAGATTTTATTAATTTTGAAGTCTCAAAAAAATATCAGAACCCAAGATAGCTTTTAAAAATATGAGAAACCGGATATGTTAATTTGCGTGGGACCGAATAATGGCCTAAGTATCCAAGACAACTGTTTGCAGGAGTTAGTTTTTTATGAAACATCGTGTTTCAGGTTTATGAAAAGGAATTTTTTATGAAGTTACCAGCGCTGACCCCCCGCTACGCGGGGGTTCAGCGCTGGCCCTCCCCCCCCCCCCCCCGCAATTTGAATTTGGAATTTAGAATTTGCATGCAAAATTTGGCTGAATTCCCGGTCGGGCGGTCGGTCGGACGGACGGGCGTACGGACATTAGAAATTTATATATAGTAGATTTTTAGATCGAAGACGTCGATCTGGTGCCCCCACCATCATCCCCAATCGTTGGAGGCCTTCAGCACGAAACGCCCGGTGAAGTTGGTCATCCTCCCGCTGTCCGCGGCGACAAGACCCTCATCGCCCTCCAGCCCAACCAAATGTATGTTTCGGCACTCTGCACAGATCGGTGGTTTGTTGGGCAAGTTAGTCAAGACAAGGCAGTTGTGGCTTTCTATCATCGAAAAAGGGCAAACTAATTTTAAAATAAAAATAAAAATAATATTTTTGGAATTTATTTTTGTGTTCTATCAATCAAACTAAAAAAACGAATGCTACTTTCATTTAATGGTTTGAGTCTTAAGGTTTGAAATAAAAGCTGCGTTTAAAATGGGTATTTGATTCGTTTTTCTTATGTGTAACAACATAGACCAGTAATATTGATTTATAAACTTTTGATTTTTTAGGATAATTTAAAACATTTCTTTCTGACCCGCAAGAAATGATTCTGAGAAGAAACATGTTTCTGAAAAACAAGGTCAAACCCATAACTTAATAGACACTATTGCAAGGTTCAGTCAATTCGAAACACTGAGCAGCTACTATAAAAATTATATAATTTTTGATTTATTGCTTTTTTCAGCCCGGACAACTCGAACCCGCAGTACAAGGTCGAGCCTCTGCCAGTGGAAGGAACACCATTGGTGAGTTTTTAGGGGTATCTCTGTCTCTCTCGATCTCCCTCTCTCTCTTTCTCAGGCTATCTCTCTCTCTATCTCTCTCTCTCTATCTCTCTCTCTCTTCTCTCGCTCTCGCTCTCTCTCTCTCTCTCTCTCTCTCTCTCTATCTCTCCGTACGAAATTTCTCTTTTTTAGGGCCCGAACGCCAACCAGCCAATCGTTGGCCCCAGCCCGCCCGAGTCGGTCAACTACCAAACCGGAGCCAAGGTTTGCCAGAATTTTTATTCTTATTTTTATTTTAAAAGGTATTCAATTTTATCAAAGGATTCTCTGGTTTTTTGCATCATTTCCGAATATTCAATGCGTTTACAGAGGCTTCGCAGAATTATCTGTGAAACGCTGCACGCGTTCCGGGAAAATCCGCAAAATTTTCTTTTAAAATTTGAGGAAATTGGGAATTAGGAATATTACATTATTCAAGCCGAGGTAATACCGCGCCTAGTTCTACCTACTAACTCTAAAATTTCTGGAACATTTCTTTGTAAAAACCATGTTTCCTGAAACCAAAAATACCAATTTATTTACAAGTTCTAGAAATTTCGAAGCTTGGCGACTTTTCACTTCGCCCATATTCCGTGATTAAACCAGTTTTCTTGATAAAACTTCTAAGCCTTGAAAAATTATGTTCGTCGGAAACATGGGGCTAGTGCGAAAGTAAAACCCAGAATCATGCGATGTATCCGCACATAATTTCCGACCAAAATCGACCACATTCAGTCAAAAATATCTTAAAAATTCAAAGCCGAGAAAAAGCTGCTTCCGTATCTATCACCGACTGGATGATCTATAGGGTAAATCAATAAATATTTACAGGCTTCCAAAAAGCGATGAAATTTTTTTTAAATCTATGTTTCTCGGAAAAATAGGGCAACTTTGTTAGTAAAATAGGTAATCACGGGACTATGAAAGGAGGCGTATTATGAGGTACGAAATTGGCCAAGCTCACTTTTTGGCCAAAATACCACAGCAGATTTTTATAGCACCCAAATCTTTGTTAATTCAAACTGCGCAAATGCTTTTTCTTAAAAACCTCCGGACCTTTGAGTAAACCAATTGTCAATCCGAGATTTTTAAAATTCCCTGAAACATCCTTTTGACGGAATTTATATTGCGTGGAAAATATGGCTCCAGATCAAAACCGCGATTCGCATCAACCGCTTTTTTGAATCCGCGTGAAACATTTTTGAAAACAATGTTTCCCGGAACAACGGGGTCACCGAAAAAATCACTCGGGAATTCGCCTTGACGCGACATAAATTTTGAAATTTTTCATAATTTGTAACCTAATTTTTTTTCGTTTTTCAGAACACAACAAAAATAATCTAAACGCTATACATTCTTAAGCGTAAAAGGGAACGATTAAAATTATCCCCCACTGCAAAACCTGCAAAACCAAATTTTAAAAACTGAAAAATTTATGTATCACGAAAAAATGAAGTAACTTGAAGAGTGGACGTCGGAATTTGTATGCTCTTTTGACCGGTCTAATTCACCCACGTTTTTTAGCCGAAAGCCCACGGGATCAACAGCTTCTCCGAGCTGAACGCCATCGACATCGACAAGTTCGACGTGCCGGAGGGGGCTGAAGGATCAGATGACACGGTAGATGGAGGACAACTCGTACCCGCTTGCCCCAATGGACTACAGGCACATCGGTAAGCAAGTAGCATATTTCGAAGATTTTACACGAATTCTAGCGGTCTAAACCTTATTAAAATTACTTACTGGTTAATTTCCATTAGGAGCTTAAGCAAATTGGCGCAATAGCGCGACCAAAACTTATGTATTGTCAAATCTTTACAAGGAATGCAATGTTTCATAAATTTCTGAAATCGCATAGCCAGAAAATACTGTAATTGGCATACCAAATACGCAAAAATTTTTCGCGCGGATACTCAAACAATTTTTACGTATCGTTCCTAATTCCCCAGGTTTGAATTTTTAGAAGAATTTTGGTGTTTCCTAAAAGACATCGGCTGCGTAGCCAAAGAGTACTATGATTCGCTGTAGAAACATTGCTCGCGAAAAACGGCAATTTTTGCAGATTACGAGGCATTACGAGGCAGATAATAATTTAAATAATCTAACATGATTAAATAAATAAATAGATAAAACGGTTATTTAACCGGCTAGGCCTGATTTTTGAGGAATTAAGGTGTTTCATAAAATTGAGGACTGCATGAGCTAATGGACAAATTAATGCGCACACCTATCCTAAAAATCGCAAATTTGCGAGAAATAATGAAATTGCAAACTGCTAAGTTTTAATCATTAATTAAAAATTAGAATCCATCCAAATGCTATATTTAGTAAGGTGGAATTTTCTATATAATTTTGATGTTTCGTAAAATTATTGGACGCCGGAACTAAAGAACATTTTTATCGTAGGTGCTACAGTTGTGCAAAAATCGAAAATTTGGATATACAAAATTAATTTTAAAAGATTAATTTAATTCCTTCAGCTACGTGGATGGCCGCCCAGTGCAATGTCTGCCCGGCCGCAATCAATGCCCCGTCGATTCGGTGTGCTATTTCAACGGACTCGACTATTTCTGCTGCCCTACCGTTGAGGATCCCTATGATAAGGTATCGATTTTTAGTATTATTTCTATTAAATGATTCTTAAACCTATAAAAACATACCAAAGATAGTGTTTTTCGATCAAAAATGAACTAATTGCGATCGGAAATTCAAAAATTTTATAGGATTGTCGATCGTTTTTGCACCTGAAATATAGTTAGAATGTAGTAAAAACGGCTATGTATTTCTACTACAGGAAAAAATTACCCCCCGCTAATGCAAAAGCACCCTTTGTTCCAACAACTTAGACAAAAATTTTGCCAAACTCAGGCGAAGTTCACTCCTGCAACTAAAGATTTTTACGCAATGAAGTTTTCTGAAACACCCGATTTTCCAAAAAAATTAGGTTTTAAAGATCCCTTTTTCAGCACATCTTCGGCGGCTACGACGGCGAGGAGACGAAACAAGGATACAAGCAGTTCGGTCCGCTCAAGATTCGACGACTACGCGACGCTCCGATGCGTGACAAGCGGTACTTTAAGAACTTTCTAAAAATTAAGTAATTTTTCAGCTCTCTCCGCCAAAAGCGCCAGACGGCCTTCAGCATGGACGACATCGTGATGCCGCTCCGATTTGATGGTAAGCATTTGTAATATTTGAAATTACCTGTAATTGATGGGCTTAAGAAGGTTTATTTGATAAACGAAAGAATGTACAAAATTTTACTAAAGAAGTCAGAAATATCGAATTTTTGACCAAAAACGGCCGGTTTTTGAAAAGCCCGATGTTGTAAAAACATTTCAAGTTTTTATATCGTTTTCATCGTTTAAATATAGTTACATTTTACTTAAAACACTATGAAAATCCTTACTATTGCTATTGTATTTATAAAACTTCCGCACCAAATAACGATGTTTCAAAAAATTCTATTGAGAGGCATCACTTTCTAGCAACAATCGGTCGGCATACGCACAATATATTAATATTAAAGCTCCAAAAATGTACAAATAAAATGCGGATAAGATTTACTATGCCTTCTCAGCATAAAGGTTACCAAAATGATTTTTTAGCCTAAGCACACCTAGACATCTTTTTGCTTTTTCGTAATGTAGAATTTCTCTATCAACAATTATCGAGATGGTATTATAGCGTCTTATTACATTTTTTCTAGGTTTAGTTTGCATAGATAATTTGTCAACAATAATTCTCCCGAAGCTCAATTTCCACCGCAAAAAACCTGTGTTTCGACAAATTCTATTGAGAGGGATCAGCCTCTAGCAGGAATAGTAACTCCTGATTATGCGTGGATTCAATATTTGGATATAGAATTCTTATAATCAATATATTTTTATATATTTTTTATATAATTTATATTTTATAAAATATAGGGTTTTTCAGAAAAATAAGTGCCTCTTAAAATGTTATGGTGTATTAATCTAAAAAAATAATTTTACTTTCACTTTTACAGCCGAGAAGCCCCGGCAATTCGCCAGCGCCGCGGCCGTCATGGGCACCTCGCAACGCCGCAGGAAACAACCAAGGTTTTATTTGAATCCTAAAAAATATACAGATCTAGACAGAAATAAAATCCTGTATTTGATAGTTTTAAGATGACAAGATGCATGTTGTAGAAAAAACGTTTCGAAAAGTGTAGCGTGCATGAAAATAAAACTCCGAATAATTATAGATTGCATCCGCGTTTTTAACAACGGCTTCGTACCTATTTTTCAATTTTATTACATTTTTATTTGTATGTTTAGCGTACAGTCACTTTTCTATGTTTGATTGTATCATTTTTCACTGTAATTTTCATCTTTTCAGCAAATGGTCCCCTCTCGACCGTGACGTCTCAATTTGCATCCAGCCCGTCCAGGTCGGCGACTGCCATGCCCAGCATTCTCGGTGAGATTTATATGCAGGGACGTAGCGTAATACCGGCCCCGGGGGCCCGGGGCCCCCCCGAAATCGGCCGGGGCCCGAAAATTTCATAAGGGGGGACCCTTATGATTTTCATTTTCTCAAAAATTTTGCTGCCTGCGGCGCTATTTTTTCACGTTTTTACGGCTATTTGTGGAGCTATGTAACCTCTTTTTCAAAAATTTTTGGCTGCGGCGCTGTTTTCTCGTTCATCTTTTGAGTTTTTTGGAAAAATTTTTTGGGGGCCCCCCGAAATTTTTTCCTGGCTACGCCCCTGTTTATATGCATTTTAATTTAAATATAAAGGAACTGGCAGGGCTTCGTTTCCCCATGGATTCTTTTAGATCTTAGATATTTTAATCAATTTCAACGAGAAAAAGTATTTTTGGTTTGAATTGATTAATTTTAAGCTTTGGAAATGCAATTTTTGGACGTTTAAGTCAGTTTCTAAATCGTTATTAATGTTGGTATGATTTTATTATTTTTTAGTAAGCGCATTATTTTTTTAGAAACAACGAATTTCACTATGAAACTCATTAATTGGAAATAAGTAATTTCTTAGTAGGTGTTCAATTTTGCATAATTTTCTTATCATTAAGGGTTTTTGCAGATTGCTGATGGTATTAAAGTGAAACTTTTTATTGCTTGTTCCGATTTTTGAGAAAATTTTCGTTTTCTTTTTTATTTTTCGTTTCAAAATTGTATGTTCCTTTTAAGGCCCTTAAATATTGTATATTATGCACTTTTTAATCTGGGTTCGCAGGTACTTCTACGATCGCAACACCGACACTTGCCAACCGTTCTACTACTCTGGCTGCAAGGGAAATGCCAACAATTTCTTGAGCCTCGATGATTGCCAACGGCTCTGTGTCATTGGACAGCGACGGGTACGGTAGTTGCGCTATTTATATAAACTGAATTTATATTTTTATTATTCATTTTTGATTGCTTTATGAGATTCCTTTTTATTTATTTATATCTTTTTATGTATCATTGTTATATGGCTTTTTATTTAAATGAAATTGGTCTTTTTTGAGCATAGTATGTTGAAATGTGGGGCGAGAGTCCGACGATTATTAACCGCAACTTTTCCGGCTATGCTTTTTAATCGGAACATATTTTTTTATCCGGAGGATTACTTGATTTCGTAAGAACGCACCGTCCGATTATCAAGAAGAATTCCAAAAACATTATGCATCAAACCGACTTCCCACGCATGGACTGACCGATTTTTTTGATGAAGGGTTTTAAAATAATAGTTTTTAAACTAAGTGCAAAAAACTGTTAATGTTTCAAAAAAACCTGAGATTACGTCGGTTGCCTCGAAATTCTAGTGTATTGTCATATCTTCATATATTTTAGCGTTGTTAGGGGATTTTTATTAATCGTTTTGGGTTAATATATTAAAAGCGCAGCCGGGATGTGAATTTTGGATGTTTCAAAAATGTGGGATTTTGATGGTTTCTTCAGGGCATTAATGCTTCCTACCTATACTGATATTTTTCAGCCATCCGCCGCTACCTTAATCGAGGAGGAAAAGCCAGTACCGGCCGGCCAATGTCCCGGAGAGCAGCCACCACTTGGCGGAAAATACCCAGTGCTGTGCGGCAACAAGAACGACTCGTTCGGTATGTTTCGCGGTTTATTAAAGGCTAAAATTAAACGCATTTCCATACTTAAAGGCATAAAATGCACAAAAAGTATAAATATGGATAAAACTAACTAAAAATGCCTACAAAAATAGATGTTTTGGTTTTATATTTATATTAAACCCCTAGAATAACGGTATTTCCATATCTGAAGCGATAGAAACGTCAAAAAAATGTCTAAAATTGTATAATTGAATTTAACTGAAAACATAAATACCAGATTTTTAGATTTTGTATTTACCGACGATATATAAGAATTGCTCTTCAAATTCGTTCAAAAATAATTTAATATAAGGGTAATTTTCTTAATTAACGAAAAGATCCGAGAAATTGCCAAATGGATGATGTTGCTACATTGGCCCTTCAAACTTTGTCCCTTCTTTGGAGAACAACGAAACATAAAAAATTTTGCAGAGCTTGTTTTTAACTTGTTTTGCAATTTAATGCGCGTTTCCCAAATAGGTTGCTCATAATTTCAATTAGTTCTGATATAATCTTTATTCTATGAAATTTTTGAGCTTTTTTAGCCAAATATATAGCCATTTCCAGGCTGCCCAACCGGGTACTACTGCCGTGGTGGACCACCAGATGTCTGCTGCCCCGGCCAGAACCCGGCTACCGTTAAATTTGGTGGGTGTCACTACGGAATTTGCATATGATATCAGGTTGAAAAATATAAATTAAAACGAGATTACGGTAAAACTTCGGGCAGTTATTTTACAATCTAACGGAGCAACGATTAAGCGCCGAATTAATTCGACCAGCTAGGCGCATTGTTGAAACCGAAATTTTCCAAATGACCGCGAATGTTAAGAAACTTAGCAAGTAATTTAACTTCCGAAATCAAAAAAGATGAATGACTAAATAAGAAAATTACGGTCCTATGGATTTTGCAAGAGTTCATAGTTGGCGTATTAATTGTTGAAAGATGCATAAAGCTAGGAAGATTGGTGGAACATTATTTTTAAAACCAGAATCTAAAACGGTTTTTGCAGTGCCTACCGTGCTCGGTGCGAAGACTGACGTCCGCGCTTCGGTTGACGCTTCTGAAGAGGAAGAGGAGGTTGAAGATGAGACCGTTACTGAGCAGCCAACTACCACTACAAGTAAGAGAGAGCGAGAGAGAGAGAGAGAGAGAGAGAGAGAGAGAGAGAGCGAGAATGAAAGACAGTGAAAGGGAAAATATAGGGAGCGTGAGTGCGAGAGAGTGAATGCGAGAGAATGAGGGAGAGAGATAGAGTGAGGGAGAGCGAGTGAGGGAGAGTGAGCGAGAGAGAGAGAGAGAGATAACTATTTTTTACCTCCATTTTCCAGCTGCCGGCAAGAAAGCCTACCTCGAAGTCCCCGAATTCATTTGTCCGGATGCGTCGGACCCTCTTTTCGGCCGTAATGGTCGTCCCCTCCTCTGCGGTGCCGGCTTCGACGGAGTGAAGATGTGCCCTCGCGGCTTCTACTGTGCCATCGATGCCGGTAGAGGAAGTAAGTCGGCTTTACTTAGCTGAACTCTACTACCTTATTTCCCGAGCTAAAACGAAGAAACCGGATGCTTCATTAAAGAGTTATAGTAAATTCGGGAAAACCGCGGCGATTGACTGCTAATTAGATAAAAAATTTATTTTTCTACCAAGCCTTTCCGTCTGCCAATAATTTCCGCTAATTTCCGCCCGGCAGCCATATTTTTGGAACTTACTTTTTCAGCTCGGTTTTTTTAGAGATTTCGCCAATTTTTAGATAGCTTTTCCATTTCAAATATAAATGAAATTCACTGAAAAATGGATTAAAACGATTTCTATTACGTTATTAAAATTACGGTCTTCCAGAAATGATTAGGTGCCCCCCGATAATGCAAAAGAATGATAAGTACGTTATGATAAATTCCGGAATTTGCCAACAATATTGAAGCCAATCAAATCTATAAAAATCATCAATTTTAATGTCACCTTTTCCAGCGCGCCTCTGCTGCCCACTTCTCGGCTCGGCTTCTCGCATCCCCAACGAACAGGTAAGTATTAATAGGCTCATAGGATAGATTCTATAGAGCGCTTTTTACGTAAAACAGTAGTCAGCAGATTATTCGTGTAAATATTTCTGGAATTTAGTCTTTTGATGAAACATAATTTTTCAGGTGGATGCTCCATACTTTGGCCGCCGTCAAGCTAACCCCGGAGAGGTATGAATCTTTAAATATTGATATAAATTTATCTTAACTGCTATAATTTCGATTAAATTGAAATAATGTTTACTTTCATACGAAGATTTCAACCCAATATTCCAGGTTGTTGGCCGTGGCAGCCTTCCGGAAGACGCCAGCAGCTCAGCCGCCGCCAGCAAGGAAGAGGGTATGTTTTTAATTAAATTCTAATATTAAGATTTTTTTATTATTAATACTTGCCTTAATTGTTATACAACGTTATAGAAAAACAGCAACCAAAAAAATATATTGCTACAAACCCAAAAAATTTCAGTCGGGAAATGATGTTTCAAAAAGGTTGCCACAAAAGATTTGTCAAGCGCAGTTAATTTGTTGTCTTTTAGCGGACGTTACACCAGCCGTATTTTTATTGTCTTAATTAATTTATTATTGCTATTAGCTATAAGCTTTTTTATTTGATGAAATGGTTTAATGATTTTTACCTAGAGTTCTGGACGCTCCAATAGCGTAACTTCGAGTCGAAAAACCCAAAATCGATTTGAAACGTGTTTTTCTAAACCCCGAATGTGCTTTTATTCTAGAGGCCGACTACACGGTGCCGGAAGTGACCGTCCAGGAGACGAGACTCGCCAGTGCTGCTGGTAAGTATGCGGGAAAACTTCGATACTAGAAATTATTTAAATACCTCGAAATACGTTAAATCAAATCATTTTTACTTTTTAGCCCGCATAAATGATATTTTATTTATTTTTACATTTTAACTATAATATTTTCATTCAGCTGTCCCCTCCCGCCCCACAAAGCCCGCGCCCCGTCAACCTGAGCCCGTCAACGAAGAGGGGGAAGCCGACGAGGACGAGTATGAGGATGAGGGAGCCGAGCAAGGAGGTACGATATTTTGTATAAAAAACTATACTTTAATACCTAGCTGGATTATATCAATTTATATTACTTAATTCTAACGATATCGCCGGTTCATGCAGAAATTGCGCTTAAAAATTTGATGTTTCATACCAGTTCAAAAACAACAAAATTTGTTTATTTTAGCACTTACATGGGGTTGCGAAACAAATAGCGGGAAAATATTAAGGTTTTATTCTATTATTTTTAGTAAAAATGTAATAAAACAACAATAAAACAATGAAAGGAGGTTTTTATATTATTATTAACCCGTGAAAACCGAATATTCCAGACTTTGCCAAGCTGAAGATGAAGCCCGATCGCCCCGTCAACAAGGCACAGCAAATCGGTTGGTTTTTATCAGTTTGGAGAATTAATAATTGTGTTAAACCTATTTTGATGATAATGCAACCTTCACTGCCCTCAAATTTAAAAAAAATAAGCTCTAAGCGTAACCTTGAAAAAGAACCATATCAGGATTCATTTTTCTAAAAACACATGTTCCAAAAATCCAGGGAGCTCAAGTTATTGATGCGAGATTAATCCATACTCTAGACATCGCGCCAACCTAAAAATTGTTGTATTTACGGACATAAATTAAATTTAGTATTTAATACTAAAAAATATACAACATTTCCCGAAAAGTTACAATTTGGCACGTAACTAAAAATTAAAACTATTGTTAGTATAAGTAAAAATAAAGAATGTTAAAATATGAGGTATTACGCACGTTAATAAAAAATCATTTAAATTATCTGGCAATTTGTTATTGTACTTAGAAGGTAAAATCAATATCCTTAGATCGTGATAAGCCGTTTTTCAGAATTACAATTTAATAAGCAGGAAATTGAAGTTAGCCTCTGTTTAAAAATCGTGTTTCAACGAAAATTTGATATCAGCATACTTCAAAACATGATTAATAAATACGAATTTTCGAGTGCATATTTATTGTTAAATCTATAATTCTAAAGCTGTTAATAACCTTAATATATCTATCGCTCTTTCAGCCAACTCCCCTGAAGTTGACGGCGTCCACATCGAGATTGAATCGGAGACAGATGTCGTTGACGCTGAAGCCCCATCGGCCCTTCTCGGCTCAAAGGAACACCCCGAACACCGCGATCTATCCGAATGCCAGCTCGCACCGTCCGTTGGTAAGTTATAAGGCTAATTTTGTTGAACACCGCTGAAAAATTATTACTTGAGATTTTTGCAAGGCTTAAATCTTTATGTTCAATAATACGTCGTGAGCGCTTTGGCTGTGAAAATCACAATAGCTCCTGTTTTCGATTTGCCAAAAAAGAATTCATCAAAACTTGAATTTTAACAAAAAGCAAATAAAATAACTCGGAAAGCCTATTCTTAATAACGATAATAAAATGAGATTTTTTTAATTCGCGCTAGTCAGGCTCTAAAATTATTTTCATCGTTTGTAATTTTTTAACGAACCACAAAGTAATTAAAACTATGTTTCCCGATTCACTGCTCCCAAAACCTAGTTAGCCGGCTGTAATTTTTGGAATTCGATAACACTATGAAATCGCTCTTCTGATACCTGTGCAACGCAATCCTAAAAAACACAATTTCAGGCCGGATATGCCGCGAAGATGAGCCGGCACCGCGCACCAACCTCCACTACTACTACTCGCCCAAGGACAAACGGTACGTTATTTAATACGATTTTACATTAAAATAAATAAAGCTAATTTTTGGGTTTATTTTACTCCTGAAAAAATCTAATGTAATAACCAAATACCTTATGCAACGCGCTCCCGTTTCCAGGTGCAAACTGTACTTCTACAAGGGCTGCGGCGGCAACGCGAATCGATTCGAGAAGAAGGCCCAATGCGAGGAGGCGTGCGCTCGAGTCTAAACCGTACCCACTACCGTATTCCCCAAGTCCCCGATCTTTCCGCAATCTCACGAGTATATCTATATTTTGCCCGCCCCCAAAATGATCGAGACATTCCCCGGATTTGCCCCCATTCCCACCAAATGTATTTCCCCCAAGGCCATAATATAATTTAAATTTAACGCTTAATAATTTATTCCTGCTACCTAGTATTTATTATTGATTGAGCCAATTATAAAAATTAAGTATTTACGAAAATTTTAACCACTTTTTTGATCCCCCAAATCGCTCAGAATCATCCCCCCCTTGCCTTTTTTGTTCCTCTAGCCGTCCCGTAGTTTGTCGTCTCGTCGAATTTGGTGCCGAAAACAGAACGATTTGGACGATGATGATGTTCCCCCACTTTGTGATCGATATTGATGTGCATTCCGTGCCTTTCCTGTGCAATAATAAAATTTTAATAAATTTTGGATGAGAGAAAATGCCGCCTGAGAACGTCATTTTATTCGTTTAATAAAGTACGAGGTTCGGTGCTAATGCACTTGGGGGGGGGGCAGCCCCGATTTTGACTACAAGACGCTCCAAATGCCGTTTTTTAAACTAGAAGCCTCTGGAAAAGCTAAGCCAAGCCTAAGCCTAGGCTTAGCTTCTTATAAACGAAGCTTAAGCTTAGCTTGAGCCAAGCTAAGCTTAGCTCTAAGCTTAGTCCTAAATGACCCCATTTTGACCACCTAAGGCAATTTAAAGCTCAAGTTAAGCTTAGCTTGGGCTTAAGCTTAAGCCTAAGCCTAAGCTAAGCTTAGTTAAAGCTAAGTTAAGCCTAGGCTTAAGCAGAAAACCAAGTAGCTTAAGCGGAGCGTTTCGGTAACCCTTACTACCAATTTCGGACTGCCCCCTAACTGCATTAGCACCCGAGGTTCTTTTGCATTATCGGAGGGGGAGGTGAAATTTTTTGCATAAGTCTAAAAACGCCTAGTTACTTAATACTCAGGAAGTATTTTAAACAGATCTTTAGGAAAATAAAACTATATTTCAACTAGAACTACAAAATTTTCAAAAAGTCGAAATTTTGGCCAAAAACGGCCATTTTTGGTCGACAAATAGATATTTGACCTTAGATTTGTAAAAATTTGTCAAGTTTGGATGTTTAGGAATAGTAAAAAACTAAATTAGAAACACTTCCGCCATCTATATCTGAAAAATCTAAGCAAAAATCCGTCACCCCCGACAAATGCGAAAGAATCGAGTAGGAATTTCGTAGAGAATCCATCCCGATCGGCGAACACAATAACACCAAAATCGTTTGAAAATAAATATTTATCTAACGAGAATCATGTACAACACTGTTTTAACAAAAATTAAATTGGCGCGGTCAAACAGCATAAACGGCAGTTGCTTAAAAGTCGGGCGCCTGGCAGTAAGTATCATTGCGATCGAGGAAACGCCTTGCACCTCCCGGAATCTGAAAAACGACGATATTGAAAGTAGGATTCCGCGCCACCCTCCCCGTATTACTTGCGAGTGAGCACGAGAATAAAACTGACTGAACTTTTTTGTATAAGTTTAGAAATCTATAGCAACTCAATACGAAGTTTTTGAATAGTTTTTCCTAATATATAGCTATATTCTAAAAAATTATCTAAAACCCTTAAAAAAAGTTTGTGAGAACGTCGAAATTCTGCACGAAAAATATTTTTGATATTTTGTAAGAAAAACTTGCAAAGTCTTCACGTTTAGGAATAATCAAAAACAGTTTACAAACAATTCCACGATTGTTATATGAAAAATTAGATCCTACGAAAAAAGTTGGTTTCCCCCATCCTCACCCCCGATATGGCGAAAAAACCGTACTCACCTGCAAAACGATGCTATCGTCATCAGCGCGAATGTTCAACACCTTTCCGTCGGCTCGTTGCAGCTGGCCACGCAGAACTTTTTTCTCGTCAATCGTTAGCGAAGGATACTGCGCCATAAAGTCGATGTGCAGCTTCAGTGGCCCGTCCTCCGTTGCCACGTCGATCTCGGACTCGCAAAACCCAAACTCCATAAAGTCCTCCATTCCGAAGCGCTCCGCCCAGATCGTCTCGATCTCGCGGCTGCCAGCCATCCATTCCTCAATATAGGCGGTGAACAGCTCCAGGATGTCCTCCGCCCAGTCGATGCTCTGAAAAGAGAGCCTCGGCGCGCGGAATTCCTTCATCTTTTTCAGCTGTTCCGGCGAAATTATATCGAGCGATAGCGAGCCTTTCGGAAAATCGGCGCCGAACAGACAGTCCATCAGTATCTGCGACCAGACATTCTCAGGCTTGAGGACGTTCTGCAGTATCTCCTTGTCCAAATAGCAATCATTGCCGTAGTCGATGTAGAAGAAGTTCTCGCAAGTGAATTTCGGCATCACTTTTGCTAGCACCGATTCGTATTGGGCGGGATCGGCGCCGGAGTAGTGGACCGCTTCCACACGACGGCCATCAAGCAGCGAGTTGGACATGACGTAGTCGATAGGCTGCACTGGCTGCTCTTTCGGCTCCTCCTCCTTTTCCTCGGCTTCTTTGGGGGGAGCGCCACCAAACATTGCATACATATCCTTCATCATTGACTTGAGATCGAGTCCGGAGATAAGAGACATCATGTCCGGTGCGCGGCCCGGATCAATCTTCCAAATCGGCTCCAAGCCGTGCTCAGAAACTTCGAAGGCATTCCGAGCGTGGCGAACGAAATCGACCTTCAATTGGTGGCCGAGCGTTTCGAACGATTCGTGGCACTTTTCGACTTGCAGCAGGGTGCCAAACTCGAGTGGCTCGAGGATCAGCAACTTCAGCTCGGGCGGCAGATCCACCAGTCCGCGAGCGTTGGCCAGCGGCATGTCCTTCTTGTTGATGAAATTCCGATTGGAGTCGCCTTGAGCCTCTCCTTCGTCGTGCTGAAGCGGCGCGCCGTTGAGTATATCCTTGTCTTCGTGTTTTGCCATAGCTTCCCGTTCGCCCGCCATTTTCATGCCTGCAAAAAAGTGTATAAATGAGCCAAAAAGGCAAAGAAAACGTTTGGAAGACAGAGACATAGGAGTCAGTAATGTTTGTGGCGCGACGCTGAGAAAAGCGGGGCGAGAAGGCGCCAGGGATGTAGTTTTGAGCCTGCCACGCAAGACGCGCAAAAAGAGTTTTTCCTGTAAGCCGCGATGCAAGTGCGCGTAAGAAACGTCGACGATCAAGTCTGCCGCGCATCGCGCGTGAAAAAGCCCGATCATTTAGCCTGGTGCGGCGAAAGGGCGCGTAAGAAACGTCGATGATCAAAATTGCGGCGTGATAGCGCGTAAGAAGCCCCGCACGTTTACTGCTGCGCAAGAGTGCGTAAGAAGCGCGTCCAACTTCTCTGCGCAAAAATCGTAAACAATTTTCAAAACCTTTTTGCACCGTTTGGCAAAAGAAAAAGACACTTTCTAGAAAGTAAAAAAAGAAAAAGCGTTCCGTTCGTCGGAAATGAACGAATTCCGTTGATAGGCGTGTCGTACTACAACCATAAAACGTGTAAACTTTGAGAAATAGACTTTGAATGTAACATTTATTCGTTCAAAGTAAAATGTAATTAGTAAGTAATTTGCGTGCCGTTGGTTTCCATTGATTATCTGCTGCCGAGGGCCGCGACTAAAAGAAGCTTTGCTTTCTAGAAAATCTCAAAACCTTGGTGGCGGAGCTTTTCCTGTAAGGATGGGGGTATCGGAAAGTGGTTGCTCTCAAAGCCGGCACAGTCCGGGTCGAAGCACCGCTGGTAGATTGACATCCTGAAATTTCGGGGTCTGGAGAATGCGAATAAACGTACGTTTTAAAATGGACCGTCCAGTAGACGCCATTGCTCTTGTGCTGGCGGCTGATGCGGAAGCAGTATCGGCAGTTCGACGGCTAAGAAAAAGATAATCTAATTCTTTTGTAGATTGCCCACATGAAACGTGATGGATACGGGCGTTCCGTCAGCTCCGGGCGTCAGTAGCCATTGTCTAAATGAATTACCAACGTCTTATCGGATAAGGAATTTTTTAATTTAGCTGCTATCTGGCTAGTAATAAATTAGAACATATTTTTATAGCTTTTTTAGAAGTTTCATATAATTACAACGATAGAAAAACTTTTTAGAACACCATAAAAATCGGAAGTTTTGGCCAGTTCTGGTCTTTTGGACCA